CAGCATGTACACAAGCATACACAGTACCTGCACACTCAGAGAGACACAGAGCCATGGACACAGACTGTCACATATGAACCTACTGGGACACAGGGACACATGTCCCCAGTTTCAGACATCCAGTCCCTCTGACCTGTGCTCATCTTTGGTGAGTTCAGACACCCGCTCCAAACTGTGTGCCCAGCTCATCAGGGCAATACAATTGCAGCATTTTTTTGTTTCACAAACAGAAGATATGTCTGGGGCCTTGGCACTTGTACAGACTTTCATTTTGTTTCAAGAGCTCCAGAGAAATGACTCAAAAATAACCCTTACTAATGAGAGACTGACATCCAGTCCCCAAGCTTCTGGCTAATTTCTGCCTGCCCTTTGGGAGCTGGGTGTCCAAGAGCCAGAGGGGCTGGAGTCCTAGGGGACAGTGTCCCTGATTCCAGTGATGCCTGGAGTCCTTTCTTCTTGGGCACGTGCCAGCTGGGACAAAGGATTTGTCACCATTTCATTTGGAAATGATTTTAAAGATACAGAAATGTTGTAAAAATGGCATGAAGAATTCGTGCAAAGGCCTTAATCCAGATTCCCCAATGTTTAATGTTTTACTATGTTTACCCTCTGTTTGCATGTATGTATTAATGTATGTATGTTTCAGACTTATCAGAGTATGGGCAGATACACCACAGTGCATATTATTAGAAACCATGTCATATTAATTTTTCCAATTCCTAGTGTTTTTATCCTTTATCAAATGGCTAAGATAGTGTCTGCCAGGTTCTCTGTTGCAAATTTACCATTTTTAAAAAGTACTATGTTAACCTTGTAGTTAATAGATATCATTTAAGTAGATAGTTTGAAACTAGAGAATCATAGCTTTTACCATCTTAACCTTATACTGACTATATTTAACATCCATTAGTGATTGTTACATGACAAAATTTTACAAATGTGGTCACCAGATGGTGATTCTTCCGATTCTATCATTTCTTGTATTTTTATTAGTTGTATTTTCCTATAAGAAGAAACCTCCCCTTACTCCCCACTCATTTCCTTGATTTATTTATTTACTTACACACTTATTTATTATGGACTCATGAATTCCTATTCTTTGACTTATAATCCAACCCTTTGATTCATTTTGAAGCTTTAGGTGTGTTCATTGCTCACAAGCATTCTAAATGACCTCAGAGAGCCATGTAGGAAATATATGTAAAAGAAACAGAAGTAAAAACTAGGAACTAGGAAACTAAAGGAATGTTTACCCATAGAAGGTGGATCAGGAAGAATGAGGGGTGGGAATAGTATAGATGTTGATAATATAGATGTTGACATATACAAATTTCCATCTATGTATAATTTCTAAGGCCCATGAGTTTGGATCGATATCTCCAGTTCTAGGTTGACACCAGAGAGTTCTCGCCAGCCTCTGCATTTCCACGCACATAACAGTTTTCCCATGAGAGTAAGGCATCACCTCTCTTTTCCTCAGTGTTTACGTATTTGCTGAATCTTTAGATATGTGGCAAGTAGTGGCAGAACCTTGAACTCATACCATTTTTAGTGACACACAAACTACAGCTTAAGACTTTGTTTCCAGCTTTTTATTGTGACAGTACATGGAAAAAAACCATGGGATCTGCCTGCATTTCCCTCTGGGAGGAAGCTGCCCCCAAACTCTTGCTCTCATGCCAGACACATACTTTATAAGAGATGATGAAGAAGTGAAAAGTGTTCATGAGGAATAAAGAATTATAAATAATCCCAGTCTCAAACCTGACCTCGTTGACTTGTTAACAACACTATCACTTGACAGCAGAATGCATATTCTGTTAAAGTTGTGGGGATATGTCGACCTTACAATAGTGTTAGGACATGTGCCTCACTGTGCTCCTGACTGCAGTAAGAGGATTTAGTGATTTCCACTTAAATAAATTAACCCTGTTGACAAACATTTCTAATGCCTGATTTATATCTCTGTTCCTCAGGCTGTAGATGAAGGGGTTCAGCATGGGGGTAACTACTGTATACGTGACTGAAGCAATTATGTTTTTGGAATCCCATGATGAGGACAAAAGGTAAACAACAGCAAGTGTCCCATAGTATAAAGACACCACAAGGAGATGGGAGCCACAGGTAGAGAAGACTTTGAAGAGTCTCTTAGTGGAGGGAGCCTTCAGGATGACGGTCCCTATACAGATATATGAGCCCAAACAATAGCCAAAGGTGGAAAATAAAGCATTCCTCCCTCAGTGAAGATGACCAGCTCATTGAGTGAGATGTCTGAGCAGCTGAGTTTCAGGAGCACAGTGAGGTCACAGAAGAAGTGGGTGATGACATTGTTGGCACAGAAGGACAGTTGGACCAAGAGGCCAATGTACAACAGTGCATGGGCACAGGCAATAATCCCTGAGGCAGCTACCAACAGCACACACAACCCCTCCCTCATGATGGTGGTGTAGTGTAGAGGGTGACAGATGGCTACGTACCTGTCATATGCCATCATGGCAAGAAGGAAATTGTCAAGACCACCGAAAAGTATGAAAAAATACAACTGAGAAATGCATCCCATATAGGGGATGGATTGTTGCTGAGTCTGCATGTTCATGAGCATTTTAGGGACAGTGACAGATGACAGAGAAATGTCAGAGAATGCCAAGTGGCTGAGGAAGAAGTGCATGGGCGTGTGCAGGCGGGGGTCCAGCCTGATGAGCAGGATGATGAGCAGGTTTGCCCAGCACCGTGATCAGGTACATGCCCAGGAACAGGGTGAAGAACACGCCCTGCTGTTCTGGCCTAATGGGGAGCCCCAAGAGGAGGAACTTGGACACGCTTCTCTGGTTCTCAGGTCTCATACTGCTCTTCGGTCTGCTGAAGAAGAGGAAGGTGTGGGACTCTCACAGTCCTGGAAATAGAAACAGGATCATCACACCTCATACTGTAATTTTCTGGGAAAATCATGGAATTTTACCTAAACCCTTATTAGTTTTTTGTACTACTAAATGTGCGCATCTCTGCTGTAACGGAGTCTGGTTCCAGGAGAACAATGAGCCCAAAATGCAGTCAACAAGACCTCATGGCACATAAGCAGGAGGCATTTACCGTTCCATTCAGCCATTACTTATTGAACATGGAGTCTGTGTTGGGACCTCGACTAAGGACTGAGATACCACATTGAACAGGAAAAGCAAAATCCCCATTTCTGACAGTTTAGATCATGATGAGCGTGTAGGGATAACTTGTACACCGGTTCAGGGAATACACTATTCACTGCAGTAGAATTGGAAGATCAGCCCTGAAAACTGCGATCAGTTGTGTCTGCCTTAAGTAAACATGAAACTCCAATGCTGAGATGTAGGAATGATGTGACTGTCTGTGAACCTGTGAAGTCCCATGAACTGACAGCTCTAACCTCAGGGACATTCTAGAAATTTGTGGACATTTAAAGCCACTTGATGCCACAATAGCTCTGAAACCAGAAAAGTCCACAAACTGTGTTTCATAACAGTGCTGAACAGTTTGGTGAACATCTGAGTGCTGGACTGAGGACCTCACCTATGGTCCCTAACTATATCCACTCATCAGACTATGTTCCCAGATAATATAACCACTTCAAAGCTTCACTAAGCTTTTGTGGTCTTTCCCCTATTTCAGCTTTTAAGAAACATAAACAGAAATGATACAAATCTATAGGCACAGAGCAGTACACTGGTGGGGAGAATGGTGCACAGACATGTGTATCTTTGTTTATATGATATGCAATATATAATATATAAATGACATATATGTGCTACCATTTTCTATACCTCATAATTACCATGTACTGGCTGCTTGATGAGTTTCAGTCTACTACATGTGTGTAATCAACACCCATGCTCTAAAACTTCTCACACAGAAACTTCCCTTTTGTTGGTTAGGGGAGGCAAGCATGATATGTTGTTTTAGAGCTGTAAGGACTCCAATTTATCCAAGATTTTCTTAGTCTCCTTACTAATTTTGTTCCTTCACATTTATAGATGCTCCAAGTGAGAAAAATTTTCCAATACATACAAATTTTCATACAATAAACAATTCCTAAAAGCCTCTCTAAGATTCACAAGGAAGTGCAATTCTTTCCACTTTATACATGTAAACTGAGGCCAAGATTTAAATAGTTTTCCAAGGTCACCACTATTTGAAGGTCATTCTGCCCAATAATGTCTCACAGTGGGATGTCTGGGATTCCTTTTGCCTGGGATATTTAGTAAAACTAAAGAGTTGCAACATTCTGAGTGACTCAGTCACACTCAGGTACATGAATATGACAGCATGTCTATTTCCAGAAACAGGACATTTTCTGGAGTTTGGTTCTCTCAGCTAATGGTGCCCCACAATGAGGACACTTAAAGAAAAATCTCGGTCATTGATGCAGATCACACACACACAGTGCTGATTTGTGAATATTACTGACCTGGTACTAAGGTCCCACCCTAAGGGAAGTAGAGCTCATAACATACACACACATACATACAAATCCTAACAAATACTCACAGGAGACATAAAACTGGACATTCATGGACCAGTGTCCTGCAAACACACTCTCATTGCACATCAACACACCTGACTCATGACACACCCAGTAAACAGCTCACCACATATACACTAACACTGCATACATGTCACCAAAAACACACAAGGCCAAAACAAAACAGTCTCCCAAGAAACACACAAAGAGCACCTGCACCCTCAGCCACACACTCACCACAACAGGCAGCACACATCCTCCTATCTTATTAAAAATGAGGGCATGCTTCTGCCCCTTGTGACTCATCCCCTTCCTGGGGGAAGGCCATCAGCTTGGGGCAGGTTAGCCTCTTCAGTCACAAGTGCACTCATTTAACCACCACAACATGCTATGCACATGGTAAACCACAATGCCATGCACATGGTCACTCAACAGGCCACTATACAGAGCAAACCACAGAATACACCCTCCTGCTCTCACACACCAGTGTGTCACCCACAGATACAGCTCACATGTGCACCAGCACATGCTGCTGAGTAGAGGTGTGACCCTTCTCTGACCTGACCTTGGCTCCTCTGAGGTCAGGCATCTTCCTGTCCAGCACCAGAGCCAACAATGTCACCTCTGATGTGCAGCTGTGATGCAAGTACTTAGGGTCACAGGCATGAATCAAGAGTCCCTAATCACAGACAAGAGGCTGATAACTTGGTGTACATGGGCTAAAAAGGGGCCAGGTTGGGTCTAACTCAGGAAGAGTCAGGCTGTGAGTGAGATACATTTGCACACATGTATGCATACAAATGCAACTATCAAACAGTATGTGCACAAGCATACACAGTACCTGAAGACTCACAGAGACACACACACAGTCATGAACTGAGAGTCTCATCCATGAATCCACCATCACACAGGCAGATCTGTCCATCAGTGCAGACATCCAGCCTCTCTGACCTGTGCTGCTCTTCTTTGGTGAGTTCAGACACCTGCTCCAGACTGTTGCCCAGCTCCTCAGGTTGTCCTCAGGAGTCCTAACATCGACACAAACAGAAGAAACATCTGGGGCCTTGGCACTTGTACAGACTTTCATTTTGTTCAAACAGCTCCAGAGAGATGACTTAAAAGATAACCCTTACTAATGAGAGACTGGCACCCAGTCCCCAAGCTTGTGGCTAATTTCTGCCTGCCCTTTGGGGAGCTGGGTGTCCAAGAGCCAGAGGGGCTGGAGTCCTAGGGGACAGCGTCCCTGATTCCAGTGATGCCTGGAGTCCTTTCTTCTTGGGCATGTGCCAGCTGGGACAAAGGATTTTTCAACTTTTCATTTGGAAATGATTTTAAAGGTACAGAAATGTTATAAAAATGATGTCAAGAATTCCTAGAAAGGCCCCACTCTGATTCCCCAATGTTTAATGTTTTACTATGTTTACCTTCTGAGCGCATGCATGTATTAATGTAAGTATGTTTGAGGCTTAGGTTTTCAGCAGGTATGCCAAAATGCATGTTATTAAAAGACATAATATTAATTTTTTCATGTACTAATGTTTGAATCCTTGATCAGTTGGCTATGGTGGTATGTGGCGGGTTATCTTATAAAGTTACTATTGTTAAAGTTAATATTTTTACCTGCTTATTGGTCACTGGCATTTGAGTAGATATTTTGATGATATATAAACATAACTTTTCCCTTATTAACATTTCAGCCACTATATTTAACATCCACTGGTGAGTTTTTGTTTATCTTCCTGTTTTAAAAAATTGCATTCTTTGATTATGCTGTAACAGTTGTCCCAATTTTTCCCAAGTTTGCCCCCTCACCCAGCACCCCCTACTCCCATAGGCAATCACCACCCTGGTGTTCACATCCATGCGTCATGCATATAAATTCTTTTGCTGCTCCATTTCCCTTACTTTACATCCCTATGGCTATTCTGTAACTACCTGTTTGTACTTAGTTCTCTCACCTCTTCACCATTTCCCACATTCCCCTCCCATCTGGCAATCATTAGCATACTCTCCATATCTATTATTTTGTGTCTGCTGTTTATGTTTGATTAGTCTGTTTTTCAGATTCAGTTGTTGATACATATGTGTTTATTGGCATTTTATTGTTCATAGTTTTTGTCTTCTTTTCCTTAAATAAGTCCTTTCAACATTTCATATAATAATGGCTTGGTGATGAAAAACTCCTTTAGTTTTTACTGTCTGGGAAGTTCTTTATGTGCCTTTCAATTCCAAATGATAAACTTGCTGGGTAGAGCAATCTTGGTTGTAGGTCCCTGATTTTATTGACTTTGAATATTTTTTGCCAATCCCTTCTAGCCTGCAAAGTTTCTTTTGAGAAATCAGTTGACTGTCTAATGGGAACTCCTTTGTAGGTAACTACTTGCTTTTCTCTTGCTGCTTTTAAGATTTCCCCTTTATATTTAACCTTTGGCATTTTAATGATGATGCGCCTTAAAGTAGACCTCTTTGCATCCATCTTGTTTGGGACTCTCTGTGCTTCTTGAACTGGCATGTCTATTTCCTTCACCAAATAACAGAAGTTCTTTTTCATTGTGTTTTTCCAAATAGATTTTCAATTTCTAGGTTTTTCTCCTCTCCTTCTGGCACCCCACATGTGAATTCTGGAACATATGAGGTTGCTACAGAGGCTCCTCACAGTATCCTTGGTTTTCTTTTTGATTCCTTTTTCTTCTTGTTTTTTATTTCCTTGAATTCCAAATCACTGATTTGATTCTCAACTTTATTCTACTCTTGCTGTTGTTTTCCTTTCAGTAAGTTCTTTTTTTTAATTTGTGTATCCTTTGTTTCTGACTGGATGTTTTTTATTCTGTTGAAGTTCTCCCTAAGTTCCTTGAGCAGGCTTATAAGCAGTATTTTGCACTCTGCATCTGATAGATTGCTTATATCCATTTTGTTTAGTTCTTTTTCTGGAGTTTTATTCTGTTCTTTGATTCGGGCCTTGTTTCCTTGTGTCCTCGTTTTGTCAGCCTCCCTGTGTTTGTTTCTGTGTATTAGGTAGAGCTGCTATGACTCCCTGTCTTAATAGAGTGGCCTAATGTTGTAGGTGTCCTGTGGGGACCAGTAGCACAGCTTTGTCTGTTACCTTAGTTGGGTACTCAAGGTGTGCCCTTTGTGTGGGCTGAGTACACTGTCTTGTTCTACTTGAGTTTTCGTTGCTGCTAGCAGGTTAAAGAGAATGCTTTATGCAGGCCAGTCACCTGCAAGGATTGGCTGTGACCGCTTACCACCATCCTCCACCCTCTGTGGAGGATCAGCTGTGCAGGAGCCAGGAGATGGTGCTCTGACATGGTCTGTAGCTGTCCACTGGATGCACAGGCCCTGAGATTTCTGATGTGGTGCAGGACAAGGTTAGGCATCTCCTGTGTTCTGCCTGAAGCTACCCTGCATGAGCTATCAGGCAATTTGAGATGACTGCTACCTGTGCTGGGCTTGGAGGTCCTCAAGCAAAGCCAAGCTCTGAATCAAGGCTGGCTGCTGCTATGCTAGGCCTGGGGCCACTTAGCATGAGGTATGGGGGATGGTGACTCACTGAGGCTGCCTGTTGTTTGTTAGAGATGATTAGGAAGTTTTGTAGCATGAGCCAAGACCAGCCATTCATATGAAAAGGCCACTGTTAACAGCTTGGGTGGGTCCATAAGTGGGTGAGACAGAGTCTCAGGGGCTGTGTAGGGTAGGGAAACAGTGTAAGGCAAGTTGATGGAGTCTCAGATATGGCACCCACATTTGGGCTCTGTGGCTTTGTGGAGGGGGCATTCAGAAAAGGGACAGTGGCCTCTGCCTGTGTTTTTGTCTGGAAGAAAACTGTTCCCCAGCTCTCCCCTTGATGCCAGACACTTCGGTTTCTCCCAGTATGCCACTGGTGCCTCTCAAACTACTAGCCCAGCGCTGGAGCCCAGAGGGAGTGAGCCTGAATGTGTATGTGTTTTCTTTAAGAATAAGTGCTTGGGACTCTAGAAGTGTCTTCCCTCAACTCAATCTGCACTGATTTTTGCAGACATAAGTTTTGGAGACTTATCTTCCTGGCCCTGAAACTCTGGGATGGGGGCTGTTTTGGGGCTGGGACTCCTCACTCCCGAGATATTCCTCTTAGTTTTTGATCTACCACATGTGGATGTGGGACCAGTCTGTTCCACTTCTCCACCCCTTATGCTAGTCTGGGTAGATGTGCTTTCTTAATTCCATAATTATCGGACTTCCACTCAACTGAACTCCTGACAAGTCTGAGTGATGGTTGTTGTCCAGTGTAGTTATAATTTTGATGTGCTTGTGCAAGGAGGAGAGCTGTATTTTCCTATGCCACCATCTTGATCTCACTGATGCTTTCTTTACGACAAGATTATCACAAATGTGATGACCAGAGGGTAATTTTTCAAATACTGTTTTTTCTCTTATGTCTAATCATTGTGTTCTCTTATAAGAAGGATGTTACCCTTATTCCCCATTCATTTGTTTTCTATTTGTTTATATCATTATGAACTCTTGGATATTTACTTATTCTCTGAGTGATAATCCATTACTACTATTATTCATTTTGAATCTCTAGGTGTGTTTATTATTTACGAGGATTCTAAATACTATAAGAGAAGTCAACTAGGGAGTATGTATAAAAGGAACAAAAGAAGTGAAAGCTCGAAACCCAAGACTAAAAGATTATTTGCCCATGGTGGTGGGTCAGTAGAGGGACAGAAAGAATGAGGAATGGGAACATTGTATGTGTATGTGTGTTTGTGTGTATATATAAATAATATATTTTTCATCTATTTATAATTGTTCAAACCCATCAGCTTGACCTGCTATCTCCAATTCCAGTTAACACCCAAGAGTCCTTTGCAGTTTCTCCTTTTCTATGTGCAATGGACCTTTCCCATGAGAGTGAGGAGTCACTCCCTTCTCAGTGTTTACTTGAAATAGTTCAGAATCTTGAACTCATACCATTGTTAATGACACATTAACTACAGCTTAAGATTTTGTTTCCTTTTCTTTTTATTGTGAGAGTATATAGACAAAATTCTGGGTTCAAGAATTGCTAGGGTACTTACATTATTTCTCTCTTTAGTCTAATTATGGTAATTATTTAAGATAGAGTTAGGTTCATTTGTCTTCTTGATTCTATTTTGCTTTATGTACCACCTCTTCTGTTTAATTTCTAGTGGCAAAAGACAACATGGTCATAACCACACTGATAATTATACTCATCCCCCATCTCTTCTGTCCACCTTCTCTGGGTAAACCACCTCATTAGGTTCTGATTTATTCTTCCTGTGTTTCTTTTTGCTGAAATGGGCAGACATATGTATCTTTTATATCCCCTTAATTTTTACACCAACTTCAGTGTTGTACATGCCCTTTTGCACATTGCTTGTTTCCATTTAACAATATATCCAGATGCTTCTCCATATTGATTCATAGATATCTTTGCTTTTATTTTTTCACAGTTCCAAATACTCGATTTAACTGATGCTCTTTAGAGTTTCCTGTAGGAGTCCTAAATTGAGATATTGGTGATGAGTCTCCTAAATGCCACTGAATCTTTTAAGGCTAAAGTGGCCAATGTGGTGTTTTCTATACTAAACATTACTTAAAAGTTAAAAAGAAAGTAAAAAGTAATCTCTGCATACAGCACAGAAAAGAATTACAAAATAGTAATAATGTATAGTTATTAAGTTAGTAGAGGGATAATGGAATATCAAAATACATATAATTAATCAAAAGGGAGGAACACAGCAGTAGCAGATCATGACAGTAAATCAGTGTGTCTTCATAGTATAGTATAAAAACACATAAGCGAAAACTGACATTTCTCAGTGGGGAAAAAGAGAAATTGATAGTTATATTTGTGCAACGTGTTTTGCAAAAGATTTTGTGGATACATTATAAGAGATGATGAACAAGTGAAAAATATTATTTAGGAAAAAAGAATTATAAACAATCTAAGTAGCAAAACCAATCTCCTTGACATACTAACTTTTTTAACCCTGTTGACAAATATTCTAATGCCTGCTTTACATCTCTGTTCCTCAGACTGTAGATGAAGGGGTTCAGCATAGGGGTAACTACTGTATACATGACTGAAGCAATTATGTTTTTGGAATCCCATGATGAGGACAAAAGGTAAACAACAGCAAGTGTCCCATAGTAGAAAGACACCACAAGGAGATGGGAGCCACAGGTAGAGAAGACTTTCAAGAGTCTCTTGGTGGAGGGAGCCTTTAGGATGATGGTCCCTATACAGATATATGAGCCCAAAATAATAGCCAAAAGTAGAAAATAAAGCATTCCTCCCTCAGTGAAGATGACCAGCTCATTGAGGGAGATGTCTGAGCAGCTGAGTTTCAGGAGCACAGTGAGGTCACAGAAGAAGTGGGTGATGACATTGTTGGCACAGAAGGACAGTCGGACCAACAGGAGGGTGTGCAACAGTGCACTGCTCACAGGAGATAATCCAAGAGGCAGCCAGCAACAGTGCACACAGCCCCTCCCTCATGATGGTGTTATAGTGTAGAGGGTGACAGATGGCCACATACCTGTCATATGCCATCACTGCCAGAATGAAATTGTCAAGACCACCAAAAAGTATGAAAAAATACAACTGAGAAATGCATCCCACATAGGGGATGGATTGTTGCTGAGTCTGCATGTTCATGAGCATTTTAGGGACAGTGACAGATGACAGAGAAATGTCAGAGAAAGCCAAGTGGCTGAGGAAGAAGTACATGGGCGTGTGCAGGCGGGAGTCCATCCTGATGAGCAGGATGATGAGCAGGTTGCCCAGCACCGTGGTCAGGTACATGCCCAGGAACAGGGTGAAGATCACGCCCTGGTGCTCTCGCAGGATGGGGAGCCCCAGGAGGAGGAACTCAGACACGCTGCTCTGGTTCTCAGGCCTCATGCTGCTCTTCGATCTTCCGAGGATGAAGGAGGTTTGGGAATCTCAGGAACCTAGAAAGACAACCAGGACCATCACATCTCATAATGTAATTTTGGAGAAAATCACGAACTTTTTCTACACGTTTATTCATTTGTTAGACCTGTGAAAGTATGCATCTTGACAGTAACCCAGTGTGGTTCCTGGAAATCACTGAAACCCATAAGTAGCCAACAAGGCCTCATTGCACAGAAGCAGGAGGTGTTCACTGTTTCATTTGGCCATTACTTATTGAACATGGAGTCTGTGTTGGGACCTTTCCTAAGACTGAGATGCCACAGTGAACAAGAAAAGCAAGGTCCCCATTTCTGGGAGTTTAGATCTTGATGAGCATGGAGGGATAATTTGTACACTAGTCCAGTGAATACACAATTCACTGCAGCAGAATTGGAAGATGAGCCCTGAAAACTGGGATCAATTGTGTCTGCCTTAAGTAACCATGAGACTTCAGTGCTGATGAGATGTGGAATGATGTGACACTCTGTGAACCTGCCACGTCCCATTGCCCTACAGCTGTAACCTCAGGGACACTCTAGGAATTGATGGCCTTTTAAAGCCATCTGATGCCACAATAGCTCTGGAGCGAGAAAAGTCCACAAGCTCTCTTTCGTAACAGTGCTGAACATGTTTGTGAATATCTGGGTACTGACTACGGATTTTACCTGTGTTTCCTAGTTAAATCCACACACCCGACCTAAATTCCCAGAATTTCAGACCATTTCACAGCCGCACTAAGAATTTGTGGTCTTTCACGTACTTTAGCTTTTAGGAAATAGAAACATAAATGATACCAATTCTGTAGGCACACAACGGCAGGGTGGGGACAACATGGAGCACACACGTGTGTGTGTATCTGTCTGTATTACAGGTGATATGTATAACCTTGATACATACTTGTATCTTTTTTTATAGTTGATAATCACATTTTTAGTTTTCTATGGATTTTATTTATCTTTAGAGAGAAGAAAAGGAGGGAGAAAGAGAGAGAGAGAAACATCAATATGAAAGAAATACCTCAATTGGTTGCCTGTCACTTGCCCCCTACTAGGGACCTGGCCCACCCTGAGCAGGAACCAAACCAGCAGCCTTTTGGTGCACAGGCTGCCATTCAATCCCCTGAGCCACACCAGCCAGGGGCTTCTGTTTTCTATGAGTTAAAAATTAGCATGCATTAGCTACCTCATGGGGTTCAGTCTAATACATGCATGTGATCAGAACCCATCCTCAGAACCATTTCATATGGAAACTTCCCATTTATTGGTTAGGGGAGCCAAGCAAGCAATGAGCTGTGAGGACTGAAAGTTGTCCAAACTCTTCTTAGTCCTCTTACTAGAAAATTTCATTCCTTCATTTTTATATACTTTTCAAGTGCCAAAAAATTCTGTACATGAACTTCTGTTGATGCACTATTTTCTGAGGGCCTCTGTAAGATTCTAAAGGCCAATGTAACTCTTCCCACATTATGAATGTGGAAAATGAGGCCTAGGATTGAAGTAGCTTTCCAAGGTCTCATCACCAGTTGATGGTGATTCTGTCCAATACATTCACACAGCAGGATGCCTGGAGCAGTTTTCTTTGCCTTCCTTCCTTCCTTCCTTCCTTCCTTCCTTCCTTCCTTCCTTCCGTGGGTGGCTGCAAAGTTTAATAAAACTAAAGGGTTGCAAAATGCTGAGCATACTCAGCTACATGAAAATGATAGCTGATTTGGTCTAAGAAACAGAGTTGCTTCCAGTTTGATTACTTGAGCTAATGGTGCTCCAGAATGAGGACACTTAAGGAAACACTGAAGGTCCTAGAGGCAGATCACACACACACACACCCAGTGCTGTTTTGTGAATTTCTGTCACCTGTGACCAGTTTCCCACACTAAAGGAAGAAAAGCCAATATGTGGCTCAGCTCATAAACATTCATATATTGGGTTGGCCAAAAAGTCTGTTGTGTTTTTTCTGTAAAATAAGACATTTTTTATTTTCACCAATAAATTTCTTAATGTGGATATTTTGAGTATTTTGCTATCTCTTGCTATTAGCTTCTGGTGTATAGAGGCCATGGGTGCTGCTAAACAGCTTCCAATGCATAAGACAGCCCCACAGCAAAGAAGCATTTGGCCAAAATGTCAGTAGTACCAAGAAACTTTGCAAACCACTTCTGACACTTTCAGTCAGTCACAGCACCTTCTCCATAGGCTGCACAAATCTTTTTTTGTGTTTCATTTAGTTGCATTGTTACCTTCCTTGGAGTAATTAAACATACTATGCTGAAAATGTTGGGTATGTTCTCTCATCTTCAGTATTAAAATGGCTGCACAAAAATGCACCAATTTTGAGAAGCATTTTTAAAATGCACACTGATATGACAGCTGTCACAATACAGTCTAACAAAATCCTTTCATATGAAGTTAAAGAGAACTAAGTAAAATAAGAGCCATCTTATGGTGAAAAACAAAAGAATTTTTGCTCAACCAAATACATACATACAAGTCATAAGTAAAACAAAATAAGACATACACAACACACAGTGATGGGCCATTCACCTGCAAACACAGTGGCAATGCACATCAACACACCTGACTCATGACACACCTGGTAAATACTCAATTTGCCACATACACAAAACTCAGATAGTATAGACACATCACCAAAACCATCCCAACCACAAAAATTCAAAAATCGCACCAGAAACACACACAAAGAACACATATGCCCACCCAGCCACACACTCTCTACAATAGGCAGCACACACGCTCTTATTAAAAGTGGGCATGCTTCCGCGCCTTCTCACTGATCCCCTTCCTGGAGGAAGGCTGTCAGCATGGGGCAGTGAAGCCTATTCAGTCACAGGTGCACTTCTTAAACCAGCACCAGCATCCCATGCACATGGTCACACACATGGTAACATACATACACACAGAGTAAACAAAAAATCCACCTTCCTGCTCTCACACACTCGTGTGTCACCCACAGACACAGCTCACACATGCACCAGCACATGCTGCTGAGCAGAGGTGTGAGCCCTCTCTAACCTGACCTTGGCTCCTATGAAGTCAGGCATCTTCTTGTCCTGGAGCAGAGCCAACAATGTCACCTCAGATGCTCAGCTGTGATGCAAGTACTTAATATCACAGGCATGAATCAGGAGTCCCTAATCACACACAAGGGTCTGGTAACTTGGTGTACATGGGCTAAAATGGGGCCAGGTTAGGTCTAACTCAGGAAATGAGTCAGACTGAGTCAGATAGAAAACAAAAACATGTGCACACACATGCAACCATCAAACAGCATGTACACAAGCATACACAGTACCTGCAGACTCACAGAGACACAGAGCCATGGACACAGACTGTCACATATGAACCTACTGGCACAGAGGCAGATACGTCCCCAGTGCAGACATCCAGCCCCTCTGACCTGTGCTCGTCTTTTGTGAGTTCAGACACCCGCTCCAAACTGTGTGCCCAACTCCTCAGGGCAACAATTGTAGCATTTTCTTCACAAACAGAAGAAACATCTGGGGCCTTGGCACTTGTACAGACTTTCATTTTGTTTCAAGAGCTCCAGAGAAATGACTCAAAAATAACCCTTACTAATGAGAGACTGACACCCAGTCCCCAAGCTTCTGGCTAATTTCTCCTGCCCTTTGGGGAGCTGGGTGTCCAAGAGCCAGAGGGGCTGGAGTCCTAGGGGACAGTGTCCCTGATTCCAGTGATGCCTGGAGTCCTTTCTTCTTGGGCATGTGCCAGCTGGGACAAAGGATTTGTCAACTTTTCATTTGGAAATGATTTTAAAGATACAGAAATGTTGTAAAAATGGCATGAAGAATTCGTGCAAAGGCCTTAATCCAGATTCCCCAATGTTTAATGTTTTACTATGTTTACCCTCTGTTTGCATGTATGTATTAATGTATGTATGTTTCAGACTTATTAGAGTTTGGGCAGATACACCACAGTGCATATTATTAGAAACCATGTCATATTGATTTTTCCAATTCCTAGTGTTTTTATCCTTTATCAAATGGCTAAGATAGTGTCTGCCAGGTTCTCTGTTGCAAATTTACCATTTTTAAAAGTTACTGTGTTAACCTTGTAGTTAATAGATATCATTTGTGTAGATAGTTTGAAACTAGACAGTCATAGCTTTTTCCATCTTAACCTTGTACTGACTGTATTTAACATCCATTGGTGATTGTTACATGACAAAATTTTGCAAAAGTGGTCACCAGATGGTGATTCTTCCAATTCTCTCATTTCTTGTATTTTTATTAGTTGTATTTTCCTATAAGAAGAAACCTCCCCTTACTCCCCACTCATTTCCTTGATTTATTTATTTACTTACATATTTATTATGGACTCATGAATTCCTATTCTTTGACTTATAATGCAACCCTTTGATTCATTTTGAAGCTTTAGGTGTGCTGATTGCTTACAAGCATTCTAAATGACCTCAGAGAGCCATGTAGGAAATATATGTAAAGAAACAGAAGTGGAAACTAGGAACTACGAAACTAAAGGAATGTTTACCCATAGAGAGTGGATCAGGAAGAATGAGGGGTGGGAACAGTATAGATATTGATGTATACAAATTTCCATCTATTTATAATTTTTAAGACCCATGAGTTTGAATCGATATCTCCAGTTCTAGGTTGACACCAGAGAGTTCTCTCCAGCCTCTGCATTTCCACGCACATAACACTTTTCCCGTGAGAGTAAGGCATCACTTCCCTTTTCCTCAGTGTTTACTTATTTGCTGAATCATTGCATACATGGCAAATAGTGTCAAAATCTTGAACTCATACCACTGTTAGTGACACATGAACTACAGCTTAAGACTTTGTTTCCAGCTCTTTCTTTTTATTGTGACAGTACATGGACAAAAAACCATGGGATCTGCCTGCACTCCCCTCTGGGAGAAAGCTGCCTTCAAACTGTTGCTCTCATTCCAGACACATACTCTATAAGAGATGAAGAAGTGAAAAGTGTCCATAGAAATAAAGAATTATAAATAATCCCAGTAGCAACCTGACCTTGTTGACTTATTAACAACACTAATACATGATCACACAATGGATATTCTGTTAAAGTTGTGGGGATATTTTGACCTTACAATAGTGTTAGGACATGTACCTCACTGTGCTCCTGACTGCAGTAAGAGGATTTAGTGATTTCCACTTAAATAAATTAATCCTGTTGACAAACATTTCTAAAGCCTGCTTTATATCTCTGTTCCTCAGGCTGTAGATGAAGGGGTTCAGCATGGGGGTAACAACCATACACATGACTGAAGCAATTACATCTTTGGAATCCCATGATGAGGACAAAAAGTAAACACCTGCAAATGTCCCATAATATAAAGACACCACAAGGAGATGGGAGCCACAGGTAGAGAAGGCTTTGAAGAGCCTCTTAGTGGAGGGAGCCTTCAGGATGATGGTCCCTATACGGATATATGAGCCCAAAACAATAGCCAAAGGCAGGAAAGAGAGCATTCCTCCTTCAGTGAAGATGACCATCTCATTGAGGGAGATGTCTGAGCAGCTGAGTTTCAGGAGCACAGTGAGGTCACAGAAGAAGTGGGTGATGACATTGTTGGCACAAAAGGACAGCCGGACTAACAGGAGGGTGTGCAAGAGGGCACTGCCACAGGAGATAATCCAGGAGGCAGCCACCAACAGTGTACACAGCCCCTCCCTCATGATGGTGGTGTAGTGTAGAGGGTGACAGATGGCCACATACCTGTCATATGCCATCACAGTCAGAAGGAAATTGTCAAGACCACCGAAAAGTATGAAAAAATACAACTGAGAAATGCATCCCACATAGGGGATGGATTGTTGCTGTGTGTGCATGTCCATTAGCATCTTTGGGACAGTGACAGATGACAGAGAAAAGTCAGAGAAAGCCAAGTGGCTGAGGAAGAAGTACATGGGCGTGTGCAGGTGGGAGTCCAGCCTGATGAGCAGGATGATGAGCAGGTTGCCCAGCACCGTGGTCAGGTACATGCCCAGGAACAGGGTGAAGAACACGCCCTGCTGTTCTGGCCTGATGGGGAGCCCCAGGAGGAGGAACTCGGATATGCTGCTCTGGTTGTCCCTGCTCATGGTCGTCCTCTGTCTGCTGGGGATGAAAGGACAGTGAAAAATGGCAGAGATTTTTAAAGTGTGATTTTGGCCACCACAGTAGTGTTACTTATTTTCTCCTGAAAAATGGAATAAGACCTGGCATTTATGTCATTGGCTAGTGTTACCAAAGCAGGCATCATACCCTCAATTCCCAGCACGATTTCCTTCAAATGAAACCAGAGGAAACTCATTCTTGTTTTTTTTTTATCAACCAGGTTTCTGGCACTATGCTAATAATTGGAGATGCAAGAATAAATGGGACACACAGGAGCTCTTCCCTTAGCTCACCAACCCTCCGGAACACTGGCTGGACTGAGGAAAGGTAAGCAAAGCAGCAGATTCCTTGTGCTGCCAGTCTGGCCCCACTGCTTTCTGGGTGGACTACTTGACAGCCGAATCTCTCATGGCCTCACGCTGTAGGCCTGTGATGTGAAGTTACCAATATCACACACATCACACATTGTTGGAGTTAATAAGAGGATTCTAATTCAAGACATGAATGTCTAGGAACAGTGCCCTATATAAAATAAACACAAAATTTTAACCATTGTATATATCATGGAGTAACTATCCACATAAAGCCAAGATCAACTGCAGGAATTTAATCATCATGAGATGTATGAGAGGTCAGCACAAAGGGTCAGTTGCTGCTGACTTACCTGAGCTCTCACCTTCCCTGGTGATAACATGTCTTAGTCCATGTTCATCTGTATGCCAGAAAATGAACATTACTTCAGTTCATTCATCTCTATCTGAATCTGGTGCCTCGTGAGGGCTCAGAAATGAGTATTCCCAGACGGCAAGATACCTGAGATCTGGCATTGAGTACTGGGGGCCACTGAAGCATGGGAAGTGCCTATTAGAATTCACAGTTACCTGCTTGACCATCACTCTTTGCCAGTACTGATCTTCACACTTACAATAATTGGCATTCAATGAACAGTATGTCAAGCAAATACATTTTTGCATTATTGCCTTATTAAATTTTCAGTAGTCCTATGTGGTAGGTGTTATTAAAACTTCATTATATACACGATCAGAAGGAGCAAGGACCTTAGTAACTGCTATGGTCACAATTTTTTCCTGTGTCTTAAATTTATTGACATCTTTGCTCCTCTGATCCTATTGTTTCTCCCTCTCTTTAATTATACAAAAGATCCAGGGCCTTAAGAAATATTATTTCAGGATTTAAGGGAGTCCTTTTGTTCCAGCAACAGTCCCCACTCATATTCCTGCAGCCCTTTAGTTTGCATATGGTTGCACGTACCTTCAGTTTCAGCCAACTGACAGTTTATTCCATGTCTGAGAAGCAGAGAAGACAGTGGTTCTTTTTCTTTCATTTACTATCAGGAGTAGTGAAATAGCTTACAGAATTCCACATGGACATCACATAGTGGGGCCTGGACTCAAAGGTAGATTTTCTGATCCTCTGTTCACTAGGAAGAGAATCCACCCATTTCTTTCCATGGGAGGAAAAACATTAAGTGAAAGTTAAATGTTAAAATGTCCAGATGCTTGGGAGAGGAACTTTATATGGACATTGTTGTGTGAGTAGCTGACTGTCTTAAGTATCCCAGGAAGTACCTGGGATCTCCAGGATCTCGTGGACAAACCCAATTTGAAGGGAAGGGAACAGTACAGAGGTGGTGCCAGATTCCTTCGGTGCCACGAGTGAAAGAGGAGACTGGGGACGTGCCCCATCGTACCGAGGAGAACCCGCTACCAGAAAGTTGGGGAGAGAGTCTTTGGGTGGACCTGGTTTTCCTGGCTTTGTACCAAGTCTCGTCTCCTGAGAGGTCAGGAAATGGACAGTCCGCTGTCTCGGCCTCTACAAGGCTGTAGTTTCCTAAGTGCGGGCAATGTGCCCTGAACCGAAGCACCTACCTACAAGATTCTATAGCAATTAAAAGTATTCCCATTTGACAGTGGAGGCTGATGGGCAACCCAGGCCAAAGCTAAGGTCACAAAGCTATTAAGTGGGAAAAAATGCCAAGAGTTTATGTAGACACCTGCAACATCAGAAATGAGCATTTAGTGTCTAAACTATGTAACAAAATTGCAAAAGTGTCAAAACTGCTGGGCTTCCAGGGGCCCTCCTGTGTTACTCAAATCACTGAAAAAATGGCCCCCAGCAGATTTTGAAAATGGGAATTTTTAGAGCTGCCTTGTGGATTCTGGTCTCTAGCAAGTAGAGAGCCCAAATGTATCACAACAACATTTTTTGGCCTTTTTTTGTATTAGGTTTTAAGTCTCTATCCTACACTTCTGTGTGAAGGAAATCAAGATGTGAGTTTGTTACACACAAAAGCACTCACACACTTTCACAGCCACACACTTACCAAAGGGGACATACAGACTTCTCTCTCCAGTTTATACTCAGGGGAGGTAAATACATTCACAGTGTGAGTCAACGTCACAGAAACCTGTGCAAAACTCACACAACGTACACTCTCACATGTATAACACAGTGCACAGAGAACTATCAAGCATCCTCCACCACACACGTTGTTGTCACCAGCAGCCACACTTATTCAAATCACAAGTGACGCACAAGGTCTTACAGACAGCACACAAGCAACAAAACAAAAGTAAAATAAGGGCTCACATCACTGAGGAAGTTTCCAGCCTCCCCTGATTTACATGGGTCCCGGTCTGAGGCATTCAGTGTGTGAGTCAGCCCCACATACACACTCACACACACAAAGTTATACAACACTCACACATGCCTGTTGATTTCTGGGGCCCTTCTGATGTATACCAGGCTATGATTCTGATACCTTGTGCTTCGTGCTGTGACCTGGATCCTCACTTGCTGTGCAGCAGACTCAGGATTACAGGACAGAGATCAGACTACAGTGGCCCAAGGACCGCTGCTGACTTTCATGTCTTTTCATCAGCTTCAAAATGACGAGCAGAAGATCTCCTTTTACCCACAGAGGCCCTAGAGGGACACATCCCCAAGTCCCTGACTAGAGAAGCAGTCCACTTGGGATGATTGCCTAACTCCTCCTGGGCCCTTGGGAAGGAGCCTGTTCAGGGTCCAGAGTGGCTGGGCTGCAACTGGAGTCACAGGAGAGAGTGTCCTTAATGTCAGAGATGCCTCAGGCTTCTGGTCAGGTCTCCAGATGGGAAGCAGGAAGGGCCCAGGTGCCTGTGGCATCTCATCATGATTCAGCTTCTCTGCCCAGCAGCACATGGCCCAGGCAGTGTGTGGGCTTCAGCAGACCCCCACAACATGACACAGACCTCCCCTAGAACATAAAGCCCCTTTGAAGGAGATGGTCTTTCTACTCCCCTATGGGGTCCTGGAGGGTAGGGTCTGTGCTTTGTCTTGGGGTAAGGTGATTGAGTCTGTGCACTCTGGAGAAAAGACTCGGGGCTGCCCCCAGCATTTACTAAGAGTGAATACCTGAATTATTGATGAAAGTTCTCTGAGACTCGGGTTCTTCAAAGTGGAAATGATAATAGTAGTCTCCACGTGAGCTTGAGGGATGATAAGTGAGCATGTAATGAAAGACTACTAAGTATTGAGCAGCATTGTCAATGTCTATGTATCCCTAGGGATCAGCTATGGCTTGAATAGGCACTTGTAATGTAGAATGAATTCATTTGTTCATTCGGTCACTCATTCTCTTAAATAATTAGGAAGGTTCTCACAAAACTAAGACAGTGATATATACTCTGGAGACATAGCAGTGAATCAAATAGAAATTTTCTTGAAGAACACACATGGATGTGTAGGGCATTCAGAAAAACATTTATGTGAAATAAATGATGGGTAAATGGCAACAGTTGCTGGGATATAATAAAAACCAGGTTCAGAGCTAGGGAGAATCCTAAATATCCATCAACAGATGAATGGGCAAAATAGCAGTGGTATATCTATGCAGTGGAGTACTACTTGACAATAAAAAGAATGAACCAATGAGCAGAAGAATGTAATGTATATTGATACATATTACAACATAGGTGAATCTCGAATACTTATGCTGAGTGAAAGAACAGTAAAAGAATATATTCTGTATGATTCTAGTTAGAGGAACTTCTAGAAGATGCAAACTAGGTGATATAAACAAAACAGACCAGTGATTTTCTGGGTGACAGCTGCAAGCAGCGCAGAACGGAGCAGGTGTAGGCTTGGGGCAACTTCATGATCCTGGCAGCTTGTGGTGATGGATTCATGGGTCTGTACCTATGCCCAAACTGATCAAATTGTATCTTTTAAATAAGTGGAATCCATTGTATGTCAAGTATACCTCAAAAAAGCTCAGTGTTTGTTAAAGCAACAGTGAGAAAATTAAGTATGCTCATGTTGTTCCTCTGCCGAATACCTTCCAGTGGGTTTCCAAATTACTCAGACTGAATGCCAAAAACTCAAGTATGATGGTCAATTTTATGTGATAACTTGGCTCGACTGTGTTACTTAGATATTTGGATCAAACATTATTCTAGATGTTTCTATGAAGGTTTTCTCATTTTGGATGGGATTAACATTGCAATTAGCAGACTCAGGGTAAAGCAGACTGCTCTCCATAATGTAGGAGGACCTCATCCAGTCAGTTGAGGGCAATAGGAAAAAGACTGGCTCCCCCCAAGGAAGAGACAATGTTGTCAGCAGATGCCTTTAGTCTCAAATTGCAACTTCTCCCCATGTTTACAGTCTCCCATTCATTCTACCCTGCGGAATTTGGACTACCGACCTCCACAATTACATGAACCAATTTCTTAAATCTCTTTCCCTATACACACACACACACACACACACACACACACACACACACACACTCTATTGGTTCTATTTATCTGGACACCCTTGACTAATACACCTGTTGATACTATGATTAAGTGCCCTACAGATCTGGTCTGCTGATATCTCTAAACTCACCGCCTACTGTCCCTCCTGGACTTGGCCCTGTCTAGCTCCAGAGGCCGCCTCAATGTTCCTGCAATGAGCCAGGCACCGTCTGACCTCAGAGCATCTAGTTGCTGATTTTTGTGCTTGGGATGCTCATCCCCAGAGATCCCTATGGCTCACTCCCCTGTCCTCACTAAGGTCTTTGGATGTCACCTTTCCAGTGAGGTCTACCAGAGCCACACATGTAAATAATGAACACCCCCAGCACTCTTACTCCCCTCCTTTCTTTCAGTTACAGTTGGCATTTGATGTTATAGCAGTTTTAGGTATACAGCTTAGTGGTTAAATGATTATATAACTTACAAAGTAATCCCCCTGATAAGTCTAGTACCTATTGACACCACACACAGCCGTTACAATATTATTGACTGTACTTCCTATGCTGTACTTTACATCCTTGTGACTATTTTGTAACTGCCAATTAGTCCTTTTTTAATCCCTTCACCTTTTCCACCCATTCTCCTAATACCCCTCCCATCTGGCAACCATCATTTTGTTCTCTATATCTGTGAGTACGCTTCTGATTTTGTTGTTGTTGTTGTTAATTTTATGGTTTTTAGATTCCACATGAAAGTGAAATTATGTGGTCCTTGTCTGGCTGTCTTATTTCAGTTAGCCTAATACCCTCTGGGTCCATCCATGGTGTCGCAAAGGGTAAGATGTTCTTTTTGATGGCCATCTTGCTCCCCCTTTTTACATTTCCTTTATTCATAGCAGTATTCACCTATAAGCAAAACTTACAGTTTATTTCTTTATTTCTGACCCCAAACCCATCTTGTGTAGTGCTTACATTCCAGTACAGAAGCAATGACAAGAAAGGAAATTAGTAAAGTTTAAGGTGTGTTAGAAGATTAGAAACTGCTATGAAGACAAAGGAGCCTGAATGAGTAGAGGCAGGAGGGCTGGGGTGTAAGTCCCACATGGGGATGAGTTTGCGGGTCTATATAAACATCTGTGTTCACAGAACTAAGATCTCCTGGCACGGAGTAGCCATGCAACAAATACGTTGCATGAATTTTTATATGCATGAAATAGGAACTCATGCATTTAGCTTTTCTCTATTAGATGTGGGAGCTCTCGCCCTGACCAGTGTGGCTCAGTGGGTTGGGCATTGTCCTGAAAAATTAGGGGTTGCCAATTCAATTCCTGGTCAGGGCACATGCCTGCGTTGCAGGTTTGGTCGCTGGTTGGGACACATACGAGAGGCAACCAGTCAATGTTTCTCACACCGATGTTTCTCCCCCTCTCTTTCTCCCTCCCTTCCCCTCTCTCTAAAAATAAATAAAATTTCTTCTTTTAAAAGGAATCCAAAATGGGAGCTCTCAGTTTGGGAACAATACAATATTTTCCCAGACTACCATTAATCAGAGAGACATAGCCTGATCTCACCACAAAAATCCAATTCAAAGGCAGAAATTACAGTTTCCTAAGGAGTGCTCCCCTGGTATGCTTTTATCACAGACACAATCAAATTAAATTTATTTAGCTTTTAGGAAACCATCAAAAGCATTTTATTAACTATATACTACATTAAAATAATAAATGTACTAGACTTGATTAAACTAAACATTAGAAACATGGCTGAATATTTGTAGTTTTGGGAAACAATAGATTAGAAAGGGGAAATAGGGAAGTGATTTATATCTCATTTACTTCCACAACAGAAACAGTTATGATTGAGAGTCATGTCACCTTTTCTTGAGCAGGGTTTTTTCTTACCTATCAAAACAATATTGCACAAAACTTAAAAAACTGGCTGTGCTTGAAGGGCCAGTTGTTCACTGCATTATAGACAAATTGAGGCACTGTAACACACTTGGGAATTCTGCTCTCTGCCATATAGGAGTCAGAAACAGCCGCATTTCATACTTGTAATCGTAGCCTAAAGTTAAACCGGTTTTATCTTTTAGAAGGAAGCATAAAATGCAGGTCCCATTTTCCTTTTGAGAAAGGTGGTTGGTGTGCTCTGTGATCTTAGCAAGTCTTCCATCTCTTCTCAGCAGCAGAACACAACAGTGTGAGCAATTCAGGATGATCAGGCCATGCCTGACTGATAAGGAGTTTGAAGACTACAAGTTGAATGTGTGTTGTGGGAAATGGCATATTTTGGATTATGGAAGAATAAGAGGACAAGAAATAAGAGTAAAATAAAAGGGAGTAGATCCAGTAAGGAAGCTGAGAGGATGTTAGAGAGATGGGTGGTCAACACACCATTTTTCAGGATGTCCAACAAGGTCAGAGTGTGAAATAAGAACACAATTAGGTGATTCGAATTTGGCAAAAAGGATACTTTTTCTGAAAACAGTCTCAGAGCCAATTTCATATCTCTGTTTCTCAGCCTGTAGATGAAGGGATTTAACATAGGGGTGACTACTATGTACATCAGAGGGATGATCATGTCCTTGTCAGTGGAGTTGCTTGATGAGTAAGAAAAGTACAGAACCAAAATTGCCCCATAGAAGAGAGACACCATGGACAGGTGGGAGCCACAGGTGGACAAGGCTTTGCAATCCCTTTGTTAGAGGGACTCTCAGGATAGAGGCTCTAGTATGGCCATAACAAACCAGGATGCCACTCACTGGAAAAATGACAACCATAACCCCTTCAGTGAATATGACCAGCTCCCAGGACAGCTCGAGTGGAATGGCGAGACTACAGAAAAAGTGGGGAATGATGTTGTCAACCCAGAAGGACACCTGGGCAAGGAGGAGGGTGTGCAACAGTGCACTGCCACAGGAGATAATCCAGGGACCAGCCACCAGCAGCACATACAGCCTCTCCCTCATGATGGTGGTGTATTGTAGAGGGTGACAGATGGCCACATACCTGTCATATGCCATCACTGCTTGATGTGGAAGAAAAGTACAGAACCAAAATTGCCCCAGAAGAAAAGTATGAAGACAACCAAAACATAAATAAAAATACAACTGAGAAATAAACTGTGGATAGGAAATGAAGTGATGAGTCTGCATGGTCATCAGCATTTTAGGGACAGTGACAGATGAGAAAGAGACATCAGAGATATCCTCAGTGTTTACTTGCTTACTGAATGTTGGACACATGGGAAGTAGTTCAGAATCTTGAACTCATACCACTGTTAATGACACACTAAGTACAGCTTAAGATTTTGTTTTCTTTTTTTTTATTGTGAGAGTATATAGACAAAATTCCAGGTACAAGAATTACTAGGGTACTTACATTATTTTCCTCTTTAGTCTAATTATGGTATTTATTCAAGACATAGTTAGGTTCATTTGTCTTCTTGATTCTATTTTGCTTTATGCACACCTCTTCTATTTATTTTCTAGTGGCAAAAGACAACATGGTCATAACCATGCTAATTACTATACTCACCTCCCATCTCTTCTGTCCACCTTCTCTGGGTAAATCACCTCATTAGTTTCTGATTTATTCTTCCTGTGTTTCCTTTTGCTCAAATGGGCAGACATATATATATTTCGTATCCCCTTAATTTTTACAAAAACGTTCAGTACTATAAGTGCCCTTTTGCACGTTGCTTATTTCCATTTAACAATATATCCAGGGGGGGAAGATGGCTGCTTTACTCTAGGCAGCATGATTCTCGGCTTCTGTGAAGAGGAGGAAAACTCGTGGATCGGTGGAGGAACAGAGCAAGTGGCCTAGGTTACTGAAACATTTTTGAAAACAGGACATCAAAAATTATTGCGATTATTGAAAAACCAGACGGTAAGGAGACTGCTTCAGGACAAAAGGGACCCAGGGATCAGTGCGGGGACCAGGGGGTTGCAGTCCCCAGGCCCGGTGCTCCTGGGTCTGCCTCAGGGCTCCCGGGAGAGGGGAGTCACGGCTCCCTCCCTGGAATACGGGGGATGAGCAACACCAGGGGGGACCTTGTTGCTTGAAGGCACAGAGAGGCCGATTGGACCGGGGGAAAAATCACCCAGGGACTGTGAACACCCACCCAGAGCCCTGGGAGAAGTGAGTGCCTCCAGCAGGCACTACCAGGGGCAGCCTGGAAGAGTGCCCGCACCCCTAGCCCCGTTGGAATGTGGATCGGTGGATAACTCAGACATCGCAGCCCCAATCCAGGAAAGGGCATGGGTGTTCTTAGGTTTCTGGAGCCTACGGTGCTAAATTGTGGAAACGCGCACCCCATCAGGAATCCTGACTCTTGCTCTGTGAACCCAGAAGGGACGCGGCACTTAGTGCATTCCTGGAGCCCAAAACTCAAAAATTTGGTGGATGGGCGCGCCCTTTTATGATCCCCAGAGATGGCACAGTAAATCCCAAAATGTCGACGGTGCTTCCAGAGATCATAGAGCTGGAACCCTGCCAGGACCCCGGAGCCAGAGAGAATGCGGCAGTGAGCTCCGGAGAGCGAATACGCTCGGGAGTGCCCAGGGTCCTGTAGGGGAAAGTCAGATTGGCCCTGGGGATAGTACCTGAGAGACTTACGGAGATTTGTCTGGGAAGAGTGATAAGCATTTCAAATGTCCCTCAGCCAGCTGAAGCCAGCAAGATCAGAAAAACTGGTGTGGCCAGTTAGAAACCAACAAGAGGTTGTTTTGTTTTGTTTTGTTTTGTGGCTGTTGTTGTTTGACTGATTTTATCTTGTGTTTTAAGTGACATTTTATTTTTCAATTCTTATTATTTTTATATCTCGCAATCCCTTATGTTTCTCTTCCATTCATCCTAGTATTATTCCTTCCAATCCAAATTTATCTCTCCTGCACTCCATCTTCTGTTTTTATTCTTTTTTTTTTGATGTTGCAAGTTCCTGTAAATTTGTATTATCTTTTTCTCACTTTTCCGACATTTTTTATTTTAATAGTATTTTGGTATTCTTTTTCTTTCTGTATAATCTTCTTTGCTTGGCTGGTTATAGTGTCATTTGATAGCTTCCTCCTGATATCTCAGTCATAGTGTGCTGATAATTTGCTATCCTTCATCTATGTTCCATTAATACACCTCTCAAGGTTCTATACTCCTTATTCTTGTTATCTAGATCTCATCGATTCTGCCACAAGACTGATGCTGTACTATTACTGATAATAAGACCTAGTTCATACAATTGTAATTACTGCTCAACACCCCTACCTGATCTCAGCCCACTTTGCAATTTCCTGAACTATACTATTGTGGGGGTTGTCTCTATTCTTTTACACACTACTCCTATTTACTAATCTTTATTCCAAACCTACCTTAGAATCTGACCTCCCACAGCCTCACAGCATGCTAGTTCCAACGAAAAATCCTTTCATCCCCATTAAGAGTCTTACCTTCTTTCCATCCTTTCTAAAACGTGGATAGTGGGTTGGAGGATCACCATTAACACTATAAGGAGCCAAAGGATAACCCATCTCTTCTCTACTGGCTGCTAATGTAAATATCATAGTATACTGTCTTGCTGTCTGAAATCATTTTGCCTTATTCCTCCAACTGATCACAAAAAAGAGTAAGGGGAAGTTGTGAACACCAGGATACACAAAGGAGACTGCACCACTGAATCTCACAAGTATTCTACCATAGAAGTTCACACCATAATTACAGGGAACCAGAACAGATCAATTTAAGAAATAGAGGCTACCAAGAAGAAACCCACGAACAATGAGAAAACAAAGAAACAATCTCCAATTGAAGGCAAAGGAGGACACCTCAGGAAAAAATGCTAAATGAAATAGAGGCAACTCAACTATCAGATAGTGAGTTCAAAACAATGATTATCAGGAAGTTTAATGAACTCACAATGAGCTATCAAAACTAGAGGGAAGCTACAACAATCTCACTGCAAACTATATAAACATGAAAAAGGAAATAGAAACTCTCAACAAGGGCCAAGAGGAAATGAAGAATGCCATTTCTGAACTGACAAACACAGAAGAAGGAATGAAAAGCAGGATTGATGAAGCATAAGATCAGATCAATGAGCTAGAGGACAAAGTAGAAAACAACACCCAGAAAGAGCAAGAAAAGGAAAAGAGGCTCAGAAAGAATGAAAAGGGATTCAGAGAAGTGCAACAGAATATGAAACATAATAATATCCATATATTAGGGAATACCAGAAGGAGAAGAAGAAGAGCAAGGGATAGAAACCTAGTTGAAAAAGTAATGAAGGAGAACTTCCCTAATTTGACAAGAGAAAAAGTCACACAAATCCAGGACACACAGAGAGTCCCAATCAAGAGGAACCCAAAGAGGCCCACCTCAAGACACATCATAATTAAAATGGCAAAATTTCAAGACAAAGAGAGAATCTTAAAGGCAGCAAGGGAGAAACAGGAAGTAACATCCAAAGGAGCCCCAATAAGCTTAGCAGCTGACTTCTCAATGGAAACACTTCAAGCCAGAAGACAATGGCAAGAAATACTCCAGGTAATGAGAACCAGAGATCTGCAACCAAGGCTACTTTATCCAGCAAGGCTCTCAATCAAGATAGAAGGCCAAATAAGAAGCTTCCCAGACAAAAGAAGTATAAAAGAATACACCTCCACCAAACCAGCTCTGCAAGAGATTCTAAAGGGACTGCTTTAAGGAAGGGAAAGAAAAGAGAGAGAGAGAGGAACACACATACATAAAAGACAATGAGTAAGTACCTATCAGTAATAACCTTAAACATAAATGCATTAAATGCTCCAATCAAAAGACATAGAATAGCTGAATGGATCAGAAAAAATGACCCACATATATGCTGCCTACAAGAGACCCACCTCAGCATAAAAGACCTGCAAAGGCTGAAGGTGAAGGCCTGGAAACAAATATTCCAAGCAAATGGACAGGGAAAAAAAAGCCAGGGTAGCAATACTCATATCACACAAAATAGACTTCCAAAAAAGGCCCATAAAGAGAGACACAGAAGGTCACTTCATAATACTCAAGGGAAGAATCCACCAAGAAGACATAAATATTGTAAATATATATGCACCCAACATAGGAGCACCCAAATACATAAAGAAAATCTTAGAGGACTTCAGGAGAGGTATGGACAGCAACACAATTATAGTGGGGGATTTTAACACCCCACTATCAAAAATGGACAGATCTTCTAAATAAAATATCATCAAAGATATTGTGGCATTGAACAATACCCTTGATGAAATGGGTTTTACTGATATATACAGAGCCCTCCATCGAAAAGAAGCTAAATACACATTCTTCTCAAATGTACACGGAACATTTTGAAAGATTGACCACATGATAGGACACAAAACAAGCCTGAACAATTTCAAGAAAATTGAAATCATACCAAGCATTTTCTCAGACCACAAGGGACTGAAGGTAGAAACCAACTCGATGGAAAAAAACCCCAAACACTCAACATCATGGAGATTAAATAGCATGCTATTAAACAATAAATGGGTCAAGAATGATATTAGGGAAGAACTGAAAAGGTTTCTGGAAACAAATGAAAACAAACTCACAACAACCCAAAACTTATGGAACACAGCCAAAGCAGTCCTGAGAGGGAAGTTCATAGTGATACAGGCCCACCTAAAAAATTTAGAAACATTCCAAACAAAGAACCTAACCTTATGTCTACAAGAACTCGAGGAACAACAACAAAGACAGCCCAGAGTAAACAGAAGGAAGGAAATAACCAAGATCAGAGCAGAATTGAATGACATAGAGACTAAAAGCACAATTCTAAGGCTCAATGAATCCAAGAGCTGGTTCTTTGAAAAGATAAACAAAATCAACAAGCCTTTAAGCAGACTCATCAAGAAAAAAAGAGAGAAGACCCAAATAAACACAATCAGAAATGAAAGAGGAGAGATTACAACTGACACCACAGAAATACAAAGGAGTGTAAGAAATTACTATGAAGAACTGTATGCCAAGAAACTTGAAAACCTAGGTGAAATGGACAAATTTCTAGAAAAATATAATCTTCCAAACCTCAATGAAAAAGAAGCAGAAAGCCTGAACAGACCAATAACAACAAAATAAATTGAAGCAGTAATATAAAAACTCCCAACACACCAAAGCCCTGGACCAGATAGTTACACAGGAGGATTCTACAAAGCATTTAAGGAAGAGCTAACCCCTATCCTTCACAGACTATTCCAAAAAATCCAAAAAGATGGGAGACTCCCAAACTCTTTTTATGAGGCCAACATCATCCTAATTCCAAAACCAGATAAAGACACAACAAAGGAAAGAAAACTTCAGGCCAATATCACTGATGGAACATTGACGCTAAAATCCTCAACAAAATACTGGCAAATCCGCATCCAACAATACATTAAAAAGATCATACACCATGACCAAGTGGGGTTCATTTCAGGGATGCAAGGATGGTACAATATTCGCAAATCAGTAAATGTAATACATCACATAAACAAAAGCAAAGACAAAAACCACATGATCATATCAATAGATGCAGAAAAAGCATTTGATAAGGTACAGCACCCATTTATGATAAAAACACTCAGCCAAGTGGGAATAGAGGGAACATTCCTCAACATAATAAAGGCCATATATGACAGACCTACAGCCAACATCATTCTCAATGGGCAAAAATTAAAATTTTTTCCACTAAGATCAGGAACAAGACAAGGCTGTCCACTTTCACCACTTCTATTCAATATAGTACTGGAAGTTTTAGCCACAGTGATGAGACAAGAAAAAGAAATACAAGGCATCCAAATCGGAAAGGAGGAAACACAACTGTCACTGTTTGCAGATGACATGATAGTGTACATATAAAATCCTATACACTCCACCAAAAAACTGCTTGACCTAATAAACGAATTTGGCAAAACAGTGGGATACAAAATCAATATCCAGAAATCAAAGGCATTTCTGTACACCAACAATGAAACAGCAGAAGCAGAGATCAAGGAAAAAATCCCATTTGAAATAGCAAAAAGAAAAATAAAATATCTAGGAATAAACCTAACCAAAGAGGTGAAAGACCTGTATTTAGAAAACTACATAACACTCAGGAAAGAAATCAAGGAAGACACAAACAAATGGAAACATATACCTTTTTAATGGACTGGGAGAATTAATATCATCAAAATGTCCATACTACCCAAAGCAATTTACACATTCAATGCAATTCCTAATTAAAGTACCAATGGCATATTTCACAGACATAGAACAAACACTTCAAAAATTTATATGGAATCATAAACAACACCCGAATAGCTGCTGCAATTTTGAGAAAAAAGAGTAAAGTAGGAGGGATCATAATACCTGACACTAAACTATACTACAAGGGCACTGTAATCAAAACAGCCTGGTATGGGCATAAAAACAGGCACATAGACCAATGGAACAGAACACAGAGCCCAGAAATAAACCCAAGTCTCTATGGTCAATTAATATTTGACAAAGGAGGCAGCAACATAAAATGGAGTAAAAATAGCTTCTTCAACAAATGGTGTTGGGAGAACTGGACAACCACGTGCAAAAACAAATTGAAACTCGAGCACCAACTTACACCATATACAAAAATAAATTCAAGGTGGATAAAAGTCTTAAATATAAAATGTGACACCATTAAAGTCCTAAAGGGGAATGTAGGTAGGAAAATCTCAGGTGTTTCACACAGAAACTTTTTTACTGACGTGTCCCCTAGAGCAAGGGACATAAAGGAAAGAATAAACAAATGGGACCTCATCAAAATTAAAAGCTTCTGCACATCTAAAGAAAACAGTATCAAAATTAAAAGAGAACCAACTGTATGGGAAAGCATATTTGCCAATGCTACCTCAGACAAGGGTTTAATCTCCAAAATATATAAAGAACTGACACGACTGCACTCTAAGAAGACAAGGAATCCAAGGAAGACAAGGGCAAAGGACTTGAACAGACCCTTCTTCAAGGAGGACATACGGAAAATCCAAAGACACATGAAACGATGTTCAATATCGCTAGCTATCAGAGAGATGCAAATTAAAACCACAATGAGATACCACTTCACACCAGTCAGAATGGCCATCGTAAACAAAGCAACAAACAAGTGTTGGAGAGGTTGTGGAGAAAAGGGGTCCCTAGTGCACTGTTGGTGGGACAGCAGACTGGCACAACCACTATGGAAAGCAGTATGGAACTTCCTCAGAAAACTAAAAATGGGTCTGTCTTTTGACCCAGCAATTCCACTGCTGGGACTCTATCCTAAGAATACTAAAACACTAATCCAAAAGAACCTATGCATCCCAATGTTCATAGCAGCACAATTTACAATAGCTAGGTCCTGGAATCAACCTAGATGCCCATCAGTAAATGAATGGATCAAAAAGTATGGTACATTTACACAATGGAATTCTATGCAGCAGAAAGAAAGAAGGAGCTCTTACCCTTTGCAACAGCTTGGATGGAGCTGGAAAACATGCTAAGTGAAACCAGCCAGGCAGTGAAAGACAAATGCCATATGATCTCACCTTTAACAGGAACCTAAACAACAAAACATAGAAACAAGCAAAATATAACCAAAGACACTGAAATAGAGGACAGGCTGACAGTGACCACTGGGGAGAGAAGAGGGAATTTCAGGGGACAATGGGAAGGGTTCACAGGAACAAATTTAAAGGACACATGACAAAAACTAGGGGGAGGGTGGTAATGGGAGGGAAGTAGGGAGGGTTGGGTGAGTGGGCTGGATTGGGAATAAAAGGGAGAAAACTGTACTTGAACAATGATTAAAATAAAATTTTTAAAAAAAGAAAAAGAAAACAATATATCCAGATGTTTCTCCATATTGATTCATAGATATCTTTGCTTTTATTTTTTCACAGTTGCCAATTACTCGATTTCATTGATGCTCTTTAGAGTTTCCTGTAGGGGTCCTAAATTGAGATATTGGTAATGAGTCTCCTAAATGCCACTGAATTGTGTATCTTACAAGGCTAAAGTCGTCAATGTCATGTTTTGTATATTAAACTTTATTAAAAATTAAAAAGTAAGTAAGAAGTAATCTCCACAGAGAACACAGGAAAGAATTACCAAATAATAACAATGTATGATTAACAAGTTAGTAGAGGGATAATGGAATATCAAAATATAAATGATTAATCAAACAAGAGGAAGACAAAGGAATAAATGTGAAGCAGGTGTATCACATAGTTATAGAGAAAATATAAATTCAAATACATCATGATTACTCTAGATGTGAACAGAGAAATACTCCAGAAATAACTCCAGAAATTGTTGCTTCCCATGAAAAGAACAAAATCCAACTTTACATATACCATTGACAAAAGGACACCTCACTGACAATTTGGACACAGAAAAGTCTGACATGATGGGGAAAAAATGCCATGTAAAACCTAACATGCGAAAAGCTGCATCATTACTAGATATAGTATAGTAATACCTATATCTATATCTATATATGCATCTGTCTACAGATAAAAGGTATCAATATTAATATGAGAAGTAAATGAAGTATGTATGCAGGCCGCATTGCTAGAAATATCTTGTCATTGTAAACAAAGTACTGTGCTTTAAATGCATTTTGAAAGAGTCTGTCTCTGTGGTTGAAAGTTTCACTTTGCAGCACATGTGAATTTTCATAGTATAATTATTCTGATCGTGGCTGATTCCACTCAGGCAGCATGATGTCACTGAATGTGAGTTGGGAAGACATACAAAAATCAGCTTGAAGCCAAAAAAAAGCCAGCATAAAAGAATCAGTTAAAAAAATTTAAAAGAAACTAAGAAGTAATCTCTGCATACAGCATGGAAAAGAATTATAAAATAGTAATAAATATGATTAATAAGTTAGTAGAGCAGTAATGGAATATCAAAGTATATACAATTAATCAAAAGGGAGGAACACACCAGTAGCAGATCATGATACTAAATCAGTATGTCTTCATAATAAAGTATAAAAATACATAAACAAAAACTGAAATATCTCAGTGAAGAAAAAGAGAAATTCATAGTTAAAATTGTGCAACATGTTTTATAAAACATTTTGCATATACCTTATATGAAATGATGAACAAGTGAAAAATGTTATTTAGGAATAAAGAATTATAAACAATCCAAGTAGCAAACCCAACTTCATTGACATACTAACTTCTTTAACCCTGTTGACAAATATTCTAATGCCTGCTTTACATCTCTGTTCCTCAGGCTATAGATGAAGAGGTTCAGCATGGGGGTAACTACCGTATACATGACTGAAGCAGTTATGTTTTTGGAATCCCATGATGAGGATGAAAAGTAAACAACAGCAAGTGTCCCATAGTATAAAGACACCACAAAGAGATGGGAGCCACAGGTAGAAAAAGCTTTCAAGAGTCTCTTAGTGGTCGGCACCCTCAGGATGATGGTCCCTATACGGGTATACGAGCCCAAAACAATAGCCAAATGCAAGAATAAAAGCATTCCTCCCTCAGTGAGGATGACCAGCTCATTGAGGGAGATGTCTGAGCAGCTGAGCTTCAGGAGCACACTGAGGTCACAGAAGAAGTGGGTGATGACATTGTTGGCACAGAAGGACAGTCGGACCAACAGGAGGGTGTGCAAGAGGGCACTGCTACAGGAGATGATCCAGCAACCAGCCACCAGCAGTGTACACAGCCCCTCCCTCATGATGGTATGATAGTGTAGAGAGTGACAGATGGCCACATACCTGTCATATGCCATCATGGCAAGAAGGAAACTGTCGAGACAACCAAAAAGTATGAAAAAATACAATTGAGAAATGCATCCTACAAAGGGGACAGATTGTTGCCTTTTATGCATGTCCATTAGCATCTTAGGGACAGTGACAGATGACAAAGAAATGTCAGAGAAGGCCAAGTGGCTTAGGAAGAAGTACATGGGTGTGTGGAGGCGGGAGTCCAGCCTGATGAGCAGGATGATGAGCAGGTTGCCCAGCACCGTGGTCAGGTACATGCCCAGGAACAGGGTGAAGAACATGCCCTGCTCCTCTGGCCTGATGGGGAGCCCCAGGAGGAGGAACTCAGACACGCTGCTCTGGTTCTCAGGCCTCATGCTGCTCTTTGGTCTGCTGGAGAAGAGGAAGGTGTGGGACTCTCACAGTCCTGGAAATAGAAACAGGATCATCACATCTCACACTGTAATTTTCTGGGAAAATCATGGAATTTTAACTAAACCCTTATTAGTGTTTTGTACTACTAAATGTGTGCATCTCTGCTGTAACGGAGTCTGGTTCCAGGAAAACAATGAGCCCAAAAAGCAGCCAACAAGACCTCATGGCACATAAGCAGGAGGCATTGACTGTTCCATTCAGCCATTACTTATTGAACACGGAGTCTGTGTTGGGACCTCGACTAAGGACTGAGATACCACATTGAACAGGAATAGCAAAATCTCCATTTCTGACAGTTTAGATCATGATGAGCGTGTAGGGATAACTTGTACATTGGTTCAGGGAATACACTATTCACTGCAGTAGAATTGGAAGATCAGCCCTGAAACCTGCGATCAGATGTGTCTGCCTTAAGTAAACATGGAACTCCAATGCTGAGATGTAGGAATGATGTGATCTCTGTCTGTAAACCTGTGAAGTCCCATGAACCCACAGCTGTAACCTCAGGGTCATTCCAGAAATTTGTGGACATTTAAAGCCACTTGATGCCACAATAGCTCTGAAACCAGAAAAATCCACAAACTGTGTTTCATTACAGTGCTGAACAGTTTGGTGAACATCTGAGTGCTGGACTGAGGACCTCACCTATGGTCCCTAACTATATCCACTCATCAGACTTATGTTCCCAGATAATATAACCACTTCAAAGCTTCACTAAGATTTTGTGGTCTTTCCCCTATTTAAGATTTTAAGAAACAGAAACAAATGATACAAATCTATAGGCACAGAGCAGTACACTGGTGGGGAGAATGATGCACAGACATGTGCATCTTTGTTTATATGATATGCAATATATAATATATAAATGACATATATGTGCTACCATTTTCTATACCTCATAATACCATGTACTGGCTGCTTTATGAGTTTCAGTCTAATACATGTGTGTAATCAACACCCATGCTCTAAAACTTCTCACACAGAAACTTTCCTTTTGTTGGTTAGGGGAGGCAAGCATGATATGTTGTTTTAGAGATGTAAGGACTCCAATTTGTCCAAGATTTTCTTAGTCTCCTTACTAATTTTGTTCCTTCACATTTATAGATGCTCCAAGTGAGAAAAATTCTCCAATACATACAAATGTTCATACAATAAACAATTCCTGAAAGCCTCTCTAAGATTCACAAGGAAGTGCAATTCTTTCCACTTTATACATGTAAACTGAGGCCACGATTTAAATAGTTTTCCAAGGTCACCACTATTTGAAGGTCATTCTGCCCAATAATGTCTCACAGTGGGATGTCTGGAATTCCTTTTGCCTGGGATATTTAGTAAAACTAAAGAGTTGCAACATTCTGAGTGACTCAGTCACACTCAGGTACATGAATATGACAGCATGTCTATTTCCAGAAACAGGACATTTTCTGGAGTTTGGTTCTCTCAGCTAATGGTGCCGCAGAATGAGGACACGTAAAGAAAAATTGAGGTCATTGATGCAGATCACACACACACAGTGCTGATTTGTGAATATTACTGACCTGGTACTAAGGTCCCACCCTAAAGGAAGTAGAGCTCATAACATACACACACATGCATACAAATCCTAACAAATACTGAAAGGAGACATAAAACCGGACATTCATGGACCAGTGTCCTGCAAACACACTCTCACTGCACATCAACACACCTGACTCATGACACACCCAGTAAACAGCTCACCACATATACACTAACACTGCATACATGTCACCAAAAACACACAAAGCCAAAACAAAACAGTCTCCCAAGAAACACACAAAGAGCACCTGCACCCCCAGCCACACACTCACCACAACAGGCAGCACACATCCTCCTATCTTATTAAAAATGAGGGCATGCTTCTGCCCCTTGTGACTCATCCCCTTCCGGGGGGAAGGCCATCAGCTTGGGGCAGGTTAGCCTATTCAGTCACAAGTGCACTCATTTAACCACCACAACATGCTATGCACATGGGAAACCACAATGCCATGCGCATGGTCACTCAACAGGCCACTATACAGAGCAAACCACAGAATACACCCTCCTGCTCTCACACACCAGTGTGTCACCCACAGACACAGCTCACATGTGCACCAGCACATGCTGCTGAGCAGAGGTGTGACCCTTCTCTGACCTGACCTTGGCTCCTCTGAGGTCAGGCATCTTCCTGTCCAGCACCAGAGCCAACAATGTCACCTCTGATGTGCAGCTGTGATGCAAGTATTTAGGGTCACAGGCATGAATCAGGAGTCCCTAATCACAGGCAAGAGGCTGTTCACTTGGTGTACATGGGCTAAAACGGGGCCAGTTCCGTCTAACTCAGGAAGAGTCAGGTTGTCAGTGAGATGCGTATGCACACATGTTTGCACAGAAATGCAACTATCAGAATGTGCACAAGCATACACAGTACCTGAAGACTCACAGAGACACACACACAGTCATGAACTGAGAGTCTCATCCATGAATCCACCATCACACAGACAGATCTGTCCATCAGTGCAGACATCCAGCCTCTCTGACCTGTGCTCTTCATCTTTGGTGAGTTCAGACACCTGCTCCAGACTGTTGCCCAGCTCCTCAGGTTTTCCTCAGGAGTCCTAAGATCGACACAAACAGAAGAAACATCTGGGGCCTTGGCACTTGTACAGACTTTCATTTTGTTTAAACAGCTCCAGAGAGATGACTTAAAAGATAACCCTTACAAATGAGAGACTGGCACCCAGTCCCCAAGCTTGTGGCTAATTTCTGCCTGCCCTTTGGGGAGCTGGGTATCCAAGAGCCAGAGGGACTGGAGTCCTAGGGGACAGCGTCTCTGATTCCAGTGATGCCTGGAGTCCCTTCTTCCTGGACATGTGCCAGGTGGCACTAAGGAATTTTCAACTTTTCATTTGGAAATGATTTTAAAGGTACAGAAATGTTATAAAAATGATGTCAAGAATTCCTAGAAAGGCCCCACACTGATTCCCCAATGTTTAATGTTTTACTATGTTTACCTTCTGAGCGCATGCATGTATTAATGTAAGTATGTTTGAGGCTTAGGTTTTCAGCAGGTATGCCAAAATGCATGTTATTAAAAGACATAATATTAATTTTTTCATGTACTAATGTTTGAATCCTTGATCAGTTGGCTATGGTGGTATCTGGCTGGTTATCTTATAAAGTTTCTATTGTTAAAGTTAATATTTTAAACTGCTTATTAGTCACTGGCATTTGAGTAGATATTTTGATGATGTATAAACATTACTTTTCCCTTATTAACATTTCAGCCACTATATTTAACATCCACTGGTGATTTTTTGTTTACTTTCCTGTTTTAAAAAATTGCATTCTTTGATTATGCTGTAACTGTTGTCCCAATTTTTCCCAAGTTTGCCCCCTCACCCAGCACCCCCTACTCCCATAGGCAATCACCACCCTGTTGTTCACATCCATGCGTCATGCATATAAATTCTTTTGCTGCTCCATTTCCCTTCCTTTACATCCCTATGGCTATTCTGTAACTACCTGTTTGTACTTAGTTCTCTCACCTCTTCACCATTTCCCACATTCCCCTCCCATGTGGCAATCATTAGCATACTCTCCATATCTATTATTTTGTGTCTGCTGTTTATGTTTGCTTAGTCTGTTTTTCAGATTCAGCTGTTGATAGATATGTGTTTATTGGCATTTTATGTTTCATAGTTTTTTTGTCTTCTTTTTCTTAAATAAGTCCTTTCAACATTTCATATAATAATGGCTTGGTGATGAAGAACTCCTTTAGCTTTTACTGTCTGGGAAGTTCTTTATGTACCTTTCAATTCCAAATGATAGCCTTGCTGGGTAGAGCAATCTTGGTTGTAGGTCCCTGATTTTATTGACTTTGAATATTTTTCGCCAATCCCTTCTAGCCTGCAAAGTTTCTTTTGAGAAATCAGTGGACTGTCTTATGGGAACTCCTTTGTAGGTAACTACTTGCTTTTCTCTTGCTTCTTTTAAGATTTCCCCTTTATATTTAACCTTTGGCATTTTAATGATGATGCGCCTTAGAGTAGACCTCTTTGCATCCATCTTGTTTGGGACTCTCTGTGCTTCTTGAACTGGCATGTCTATTTCCTTCACCAAATAACAGAAGTTCTTTTTCATTGTGTTTTTCCAAATAGATTTTCAATTTCTAGGTTTTTCTCCTCTCCTTCTGGCACCCCACATGTGAATTCTGGAACATTTGAGGGTGCCACAGAGGCTCCTTACAGTATCCTTGGTTTTCTTTTTGATTTCTTTTTCTTCTTGTTTTTTATTTCCTTGAATTCCAAATCACTGATTTGATTCTCAGCTTTATTCTACTCTTGCTGTTGTTTTCCTTTCAGTGAGTTCTTTTTTTTAATTTGTGTATCCTTTGTTTCTGACTGGATGTTTTTTATTCTGTTGAAGTCCTCCCTAAGTTCCTTGAGCAGCCTTATAAGCAGTATTTTGCACTCTGGATCTGATAGAGTGCTTATCTCCATTTTGTTTAGTTCTTTTTCTGGAGTTTTATTCTGTTCTTTGATTCGGGCCTTGTTTCCTTGTCTCCTCGTTTTGTCAGCCTCCCCGTGTTTGTTTCTGTGTATTAGGTAGAGCTGCTATGACTCCCTGTCTTAGTAGAGTGGCCTAATGTTGTAGGTGTCCTGTGGGGACCAGTAGCACAGCTTCGTCTGTTACCTTAGTTGGGTACTCAAGGTGTGCCCTTTGTGTGGGCTGAGTACACTGTCTTGTTCTACTTGAGTTTTCGTTGCTGCTAGCAGGTTAATGAGAATGCTTTATGCAGGCCAGTCACCTGCAAGGATTGGCTGTGACCACTTACCACCATCCTCTACCCTCTGTGGAGGATCAGCTGTGCAGGAGCCAGGAGATGGTGCTGTGACATGGTCTGTAGCTGTCCACTGAATGCACAGGCCCTGAGGTGTCTGATGTGGTGCAGGACAAGGTTAGGCACCTCCTGTGTTCTGCCTGAAGTTACCCTGCATGAGCTATCAGGCAATTTGAGATGACTGCTACCTGTGCTGGGCTTGGAGGTCCGCAAGCAAAGCCAAACTCTGAATCAAGGCTGGCTGCTGCTATGCTAGGCCTGGGGCCACTTAGCATGAGGTATCGGGGATGGTGACTCACTGAGGCTGGCTGGTGCTTGTTAGAGATGATTAGGAAGTTTTGTAGCATGAGCCAAGACCAGCCATTCATATGAAAAGGCCACTGTTAACAGCTTGGGTGGGTCCATCAGTGGGTGAGACAGAGTCTCAGGGGCTGTGTAGGGTAGGGAAACAGTGTAAGGCAGGTTGATGGAGTCTCAGATATGGCACCCACATTTGGACTCTGTGGCTTTGTGGAGGGGGGATTCAGAAAAGGGATAGTGGCCTCTGCCTGTGTTTTTGTCTGGAAGAAAACTGTTCCCCAGCTCTCCCCTTGATACCAGACACTTCGGTTTCTCCCAGTATGCCACTGGTGCCTCTCAAACTACTAGCCCAGTGCTGGAGCCCAGAGGGAGTGAACCTGAATGTGTATGTGTTTTCTTTAAGAAGAAGTGCTTGGGACTCTAGAAGTGTCTTCTCTCAACTCAATCTGCACTGATTTTTGCAGACATAAGTTTTGGAGACTTATCTTCCTGGCCCTGGAACTCTGGGCTGGGGGCTGTTATGGGGCTGGGACTGCTCACTCCGAGATATTCCTCTTAGTTTTTGATCTACCACATGTGGATGTGGGACCAGTCTGTTCCACATCTCCACCCCTTATGCTAGTCTGGGTAGATGTGCTTTCTTAATTCCATAATTATCAGACTTCCACTCAACTGAACTCCTGACAAGTCTGAGTGATGGTGGTTGTCCAGTTTAGTTGTAATTTTGATGTGCTTGTGGAAGGAGGAGAGCTGTATTTTCCTATGCCACCATCTTGATCTCACTGATGATTTCTTTACGACAAGATTATCACAAATGTGATGACCAGAGGGTAATTTTTCAAATACTGTTTTTTCTCTCATGTCTAATCATTGTGTTCTCTTATAAGAAGGATGTTACCCTTATTCCCCATTCATTTGTTTTCTATTTGTTTATATCATTATGAACTCTTGGATTTTTACTTATTCTGTGAGTGATAATCCATTACTACTATTACTCATTTTGAATCTCTAGGTGTGTTCATTATTTACGAGTATTGTAAATAATATAAGAGAAGTCAACTAGGGAGTATGTATAAAAGGAACAAAAGTGAAAGCTGGAAACCCAAGACTAAAAGATTATTTACCCATGGCGGTGGGTCAGGAGAGGGACAGAAAGAATGAGGAATGGGAACATTGTATGTGTATGTGTGTTTGTGTGTATATATAAATAATATAATTTTTCATCTATTTATAATTGTTCAAACCCATCAGCTTGACCTGCTATCTCCAATTCTAATTAACACCCAAGAGTCCTTTGCAGTTTCTCCTTTTCTATGTGCAATGGACCTTTCCCATGAGAGTGAGGAGTCACTCCCTTCTCAGTGTTTACTTGAAGTAGTTCAGGATCTTGAACTCATACCATTGTTAATGACACATTAACTACAGCTTAAGATTCTGTTTCCTTTTCTTTTTATTGTGAGAGTATATAGACAAAATTCTGGGTTCAAGAATTGCTAGGGTACTTACATTATTTCTCTCTTTAGTCTAATTATGGTAATTATTTTAGATATGATTAGGTTCATTTGTCTTCTTGATTCTATTTTGCTTTATGCACCACCTCTTCTGTTTAATTTCTAGTGGCAAAAGACAACATGGTCATAACCACGCTAATAATTATACTCATCCCCCATCTCTTCTGTCCACCTTCTCTGGGTAAACCACCTCATTAGGTTCTGATTTATTTTTCCTATGTTTGTTTTTGCTCAAATGGGGAGACATATTTATCTTTTATATCCCCTTAATTTTTACAACAACTTCAGTGTTGTACATGCCCTTTTGCACATTGCTTGTTTCCATTTAGCAATATATCCAGATGCTTCTCCATATTGATTCATAGATATCTTTGCTTTTATTTTTTCACAGTTCCAATTACTCAATTTAATTGATGCTCTTTGGAGTTCACTGTAGGAGTCCTAAATTGAGATATTGGTGATGAGTCTCCTAAATGCCACTGAATCTTTTAAGGCTAAAGTGGCTAGTGTGGTGTTTTGTATACTAAACATTACTTAAAAGTTAAAAAGAAAGTAAAAACTAATCTCTGCATACAGCACAGAAAAGAATTACAAAATAGTAATAATGTATAGTTAATAAGTTAATAGAGGGATAATGGAATATCAAAATACATGTAATTAATCAAAAGGCAGGAACACACCAGTAGCAGATCATGACACTAAATTAGTGTGTCTTCATAATATACTATAAAAACACATAAGCAAAAACTGACATATCTCAGTGGAGAAAAAGACAAATTGAGAGTTATATTTGTGCAATGTGTTTTGCAAAAGATTTTGTGGATACATTATAAGAGATGATGAACAAGTGAAAAAATATTATTTAGGAAAAAAGAATTATAAACAATCTAAGTAGCAAAACCAACCTCATTGATATACTAACTTTTTTAACCCTGTTGACAAATATTCTAACGCCTGCTTTACATCTCTGTTCCTCAGACTGTAGATGAAGGGGTTCAGCAAGGGGGTAACTACCGTATACATGACTGAAGCAGTTATGTTTTTGTAATCCCATGATGAGGACAAAAAGTAAACAACAGCAAGTGTCCCATAGAATAAAAACACCACAAGGAGATGGGAGCCACATGTGGAAAAAGCTTTCAACACTCTCTTGGTGGAGGGAGCCTTCAGGATGATGGTCCCTATACAAATATATGAGCCCAGAACAATAGCCAAAGACAAGGATGTAATCATTCCTCCCTCAGTGAGAATGACCAGCTCATTGAGGGAGATGTCTGAGCAGCTGAGCTTCAGGAGCACAGTGAGGTCACAGAAAAAGTGGGTGATAACATTGCTGTCACAGAAGGAGAGTTGCAACATCAGGATGGTGTGCAAGAGGGCACAGCCACAGGAGATGATCCAGGAACCAGCCACCAGTAGCACACACAACTCCTCCCTCATGATGGTGTTATAGTGTAGAGGGTGACAGATGGCCACATACCTGTCATATGCCATCATGGCGAGAAGAAAATTGTCAAGAGTAACAAAAATTAAGAAAAAATACAACTGAGAAATGCATCCCACATAGGTAATGGGTAGTTGCCGTGTGTGCATATCCATTAGCATCTTAGGGACAGTGACAGATGACAGAGAAATGTCAGAGAAAGCCAAGTGGCTGAGGAAGAAGTACATGGGCGTGTGCAGGCGAGCGTCCAGCCTGATGAGCAGGATGATGAGCAGGTTGCCCAGCACCGTGGTCAGGTACATGCCCAGGAACAGGGTGAAGAACATGCCCTGCTCCCCTGGCTTAATGGGGAGCCCCAGGAGGAGGAACTCAGACACGCTGCTGTGGTTCTCAGGCTTCATGCTGCTCTTCTGTCTGCTGGAGAAGAGGAAGGTTCGGGAAATCTCAGAATCCTGGAAAGACAATCAGGATCATCACATTTCACACTGTAATTTTCTGGGAAAATCATGAATGTTTAACTACACCCTTATTAAATTTTGTACTAGTAAATGTGTGCATCTCTGCTATAGCCCAGACTGCTTCCAGGAAAACAATGAGCCCAAAAAGCAGCCAACGAGACCTCATGGCACATAAGCAGGAGGCATTTACCGTTCCATTCAGCCATTTCTTATTGAACACGAAGTCTGTGTTGGGACCTCGACTAAGAACTGAGATGCCACATTGTCCAGGAAAAGCAAAATCCCCATTTCTGACAGTTTAGATCACGATGAGCATGGAGGAATAATTTGTACCCCAGTCCAGTGAATACATAATTCGCTGCAGTAGAATTGGAAGATGACCCCTGAAAACTGGGATCAGTTGTGTCTGCCTTAAGTAAACATGAAACTCCAATGCTGAGATGTAGGAATGATGTGACTCTCTGTCTGTGAACCTGTGAAGTCCCATGAACTCACAGTGTAACCTCTGGAACACTCTAGAAATTTGTGGACATTTAAAGCCACTTGATGCCACAATAGCTCTGAAACCAGAAAAGTCCACAACTGTGATTCATAACAGTGCTGAACAGTTTAGTGAACATCTGAATACTGGATGAGGACTTCACCTGTGCTCCCTAACTATATCCACTCATCAGACTTACATTCCGAGGTATTACAGCCACTTCACAGCTGCACTAAGATTTTGTAGTCGTTGACCTATTGCAGCTTTTAGGAAACAGAAACAGAAATGTTACAACCTCAGTAGGCACAGAGCAGTACACTGGTGGGGAGAATGGTGCACAGACATTTGTATCTTTGTTTATATGATATGCAATATATAATATATAAATGACATATATGTGTTATCATTTTCTATACCTCACAATTACCAAGTATTAGCTGCTTCATGTGGTTCAGTCTAACACATGTGTGTAATCACCACCCATGCTCTAAAATTTCTCACACAGAAACTTCCCTTTGTTGGTTAGGAGAGCCAAACATGATATGTTGTTTTAGAGCTGTAAGGACACCAATTTGTCCAAAATTTTCTTAGTCTCCTTAATAATTTTGTTCCTTCACATTTATAGATGCTCCAAGTGAGAAAATTCTCCAATACATACAAATTTTCATACAATAAACAATCCCTGAAAGCCTCTCTAAGATTCACAAGGAAGTGTAAATCTTTCCACTTTGTACATGTAAACTGAGGCCAAGATTTAAATAGCTGTCCAAGGTCACCAGTATTTCAAGGTCATTCTGCCCAATAACGTATCACAGTGCGATGTCTGGAATGCCTTTTGCCTGGGATGTTTAGTAAAACTAAAGAGTTGCAACATTCTGAGTGACTCAGTCACACTCAGGTACATGAATATGACAGCAGGTCCATTTCCAGAAACAGGATGTTTTTTGGAGTTTGGTTCTCTCAGTTAATGGTGCCCCAGAATGAGGACACTTAAAGAAAAATCTAGGTCATTGATGCAGATCACACACACACAGTGCTGATTTGTGAATATTACTGACCTAGTACCAAGTTCCCACCCTAAGGGGAGGAGAGCTCATAACATACACACACATACATACAAATCCTAAGAAACACACAAAGGATTCATACAAACAGACACTGATGGACCAGTCACCTGCAAACACACTTGCAATGCACATCAACACACCTGACTCATGACACACCCAGTAAACAGCTCACCACATATGCACTAACACTACACACATATCACCAAAAACACACAAGGCCACAAACAAAACAGTCTCCCAAGAAACACACAAACAGCACATAGGCACCCCAGCCACACACTCATCACAACAGGCACCACACACCCTCCTATTAATAATGAGGGCATGCTTCTGCCTCTTCTGACCCATCCCCTTCCTGGGGGAAGGCCACCAGCTTGGAGCACAAATGCACTCATTAAACCACCACAACATGCCATGCACATGGTCACACAACAGGCCACTGTACAGAGCAAACCACACAATACACCCTCCTGCTCTCACACACCAGTGCGTCACCCACAGACACAGCTCACACATGCACCAGCACATGCTGCTGAGCAGAGGTGTGACCCTTCTCTGACCTGACCTTGGCTACTCTGAGGTCAGGCATCTTCTTGTCCAGCACCAAAGCCAACAATGTCACCTCTGATGCTCAGCCGTGATGCAAGTAGTTAGGTCCCAGGCATGAATCAGGAGTCCCTAATAACAGGCAAGAGGCTGATAACTTGGTGTACATGGGCTAAAACGGGGCCAGGTTGGGTCTAACTCAGGAAGAGTCAGGCTGTGAGATACGTTTGCACACATGTGTGCATACAAATGCAACTATCAAACAGAATGTGCAGAAGGATACACAGTACCTGAAGACTCACAGAGACACACACACAGTCATGAACTGAGAGTCTCATCCATGAATCCACCATCACACAGGCAGATCTGTCCATCAGTGCAGACATCCAGCCTCTCTGACCTGTGCTCTTCATCTTTGGTGAGCTCAGAAACCTCCTGCTCCAGACTGTTACCTTGCTCTTCAGGTTGTCCTCAGGAGTCCTAACATCAACACAAACAGAAGAAACATCTGGGGCCTTGGCACTTGTACAGACTTTCATTTTGTTTAAACAGCCCCAGAGAGATGACTTAAAAAATAACCCTTACTAATGAGAGACTGGCACCCAGTCCCCAAGCTTGTGGCTAATTTTTGCCTGCCCTTTGGGGAGCTGGGTATCCAAGAGCCAGAGGGATTAGAATCCTAGGGGACAGCGTCCCTGATTCCAGTGATGCCTGGAGTCCTTTCTTCTTGGGCATGTGCCAGCTGGGACAAAGGATTTTTCAACTTTTCATTTGGAAATGATTTTAAAGGTACAGAAATATTATAAAAATGATGTCAAGAATTCCTGGAAAGGCCCTACCCTGATTCCCCAATGTTTAATGTTTTACTATGTTTACCTTCTGTGTGCATGCATGTATTAATGTAACTATGTTTGAGGCTTAGGTTTTCAGAAGGTATGGCACAATGCATGTTATTAGAAGACATGGCATTAGCTGGGTGGGCTGGATTGGGAGTAAAAGGGAGAAAATGGTACCTAAACAATGATTAAAATAAAAGAAAAGAAAAGAAAATTTAAAAGAAAAGATATATTAATTTTTCCATGTATTAGTGTTTGAATTCTTGATCAATTGACTATGGTGGTATTGGCAGGATCTCTTATAAAGTTACTATTGTTTTAAAGTTAATATTTTAACCTGCTTATTAATAGGTATCATTTAAGTAGATAATTTTGATCATATATAAACATAACTTTTCCCTTATTAACATTTCAGCCACTATAGTTAACATCCATTGGTGATTCTTTGTTTATTTTCCTTTTTTAAAAAAAAGTTATTCTTTGATTATGCTGTTATAGTTGTCCCAATTTTTCCAAATTTTTCCCCTTCACCCAGCACCCCCAAATCTCTCAGGCAGTCCCCACTCTCTTGTTCACATCCATGGGTCATGCATATAAATTCTTTTGCTGCTCCATTTCCTTTAATTTATATCCCCATGGCTATTCTGTAACTACCTGTTTATACTTAATTCTCTGAGCTCTTCACCCATTTCCCCACACTCCCCTTTCATCTGGCAATCATCAGCACCCTCTCCATATCCATTATTTTGTCTCTGCTGTTTATGTTTGCCTAGTCTGTTTTTCAGATTCAGTTGTTGATAGATAAGTGTTTATTGCCATTTTATTGTTCTTAGTTTTTCTCTTCTCCTTTTTCTTAAATAAGTTCTTTCAACATTTCATATATTAATGGCTTGGTGATGAAGAACTTTAGTTTTTTCTGTCTGGGAGGTTCTTTATCTGCCCTTGGAGTCTAAATGATAACCTTGGTGGATAGAGCAATCTTGGTTGTAGATTCCTGCTTTTATTGACTTTGAATATTTCTTGCTAATCCCTTCTAGGCTGCAAAGCGTCTTTTGAGAAATCAGTTGACTGGCTTATGGGAACTCCTTTGTAGGTAACTACCTGCTTTTCTCTTGCAGCTTTTAAGAGTCTCTCTTTATATTTAACCTTTGACATTTTAATGATGATGCGTCTTAGAGTAGACCTCTTTGCATCCATCTTGTGTGGGACTCTCTGTGCTTCTTGGTTGCCCTGTCTATTTCCTTCACCAAATAACTGAAGTTCTTTTTCATTACTTTTTCCAAATATTTTCAATTTCTAGCTTTTTCTCTTCTCCTCTTGGCACCCCAATGTGAATGTTGTAACATTTGTGGTGGTTACAGAGGCTCTTCACAGTATCCTTGGTTTAGTTTTGATTCCTTTTTTTCTTGTTGTTTTTTATTTCCTTAAGTTCCAAATCACTGATTTCATTCTCAGCTTCATCAATTCTGCTGTTGTTTCCCTTTAAATTGTTCTGTATTTTAATTCGTGTATCCTTTGTTTCTGACTGGATCTTTGTTATTCTGTTGAAGTCCTCACTAAATTCCTTGAGGAGCCTCATAAGCAGTATTTTGAACTCTGCATCTGATAGAGTGCTTATCTCCATTTTGTTTAGCTCTTTTTCTGGAGTTTTATTCTGCTCTTTGATTCGGGCCTTGTTTCTTTGTGTACTCATTTTCGTCAGCCTCCCTGTGTTTGTTTCTGTGTATTAAGTAGAGCTGCTATGACTCCCTGTCTTAGTAGAGTGGCCTAATGTTGTAGCTGTCCTGTAGGGACCAGTAGCACAGCTTCCCCTGTCACCCAAGCTGGGTACTGAAGGTGTGCCCTTTGTGTGGGCTGAGTATACTCGCTTCTTGTAATTGAGCCTCAGTTGCTGCTGGCAGGTTAATGGGAATGCTTTATGCAGGGCAGTCACCTGCAAGGATTGGCTGTGACCACTTACCACCATCCTCCAACCTCTGTGGAGGATGATCTGTGCAGGATCCAGGAGATGGTGCTCTGACATGGTCTGTAGCTGTCCACTGCATGCACAGGCTCTGAGGTTTCTGATGTGGTGCAGGACAATGTTAGCTGCCTCCTGTGTTCTCCCTGAAGCTACCCTGCATGAGCTATCAGGCAATTTGAGTTGACTGCTACCTCTGCTGGGCTTGGATATTCCCAGGCAAAGCCAAGCTCTGAATCAAGGCTGGCTGCTGCTAGTACCAGGGCTGGGGCCACTTAGCATGAGGTATGGGGGATGGTGACTCACTGAGGCTGGCTGTTGCTTGTTAGAGATGATTAGGAAGTTGTGAAGCATGAGGCAAGACCAGCCATTCATGTGGAAAGGCCACTGTTAACAGCTTGGGTGGGTCCATAAGTGGGTGAGACAGAGTTTCAGGGGCTGTGTAGGGTAGGGCAAACAGTGTAAGGCAGGTTGATGGAGTCTCATATGGCACCCACATGTGAGCTCTGTGGCTTTGTGGAGGGAAGATTCATAAAAGGGACAGTGGCCTCTGCCTGCCCTTTTTACCTGGAAGAAAACTATACCCCAGCTCTCACCTTGATGCCAGACACTTCGGTTTCTCCCAGTGTGCCACTGGTGCCTCTCAAACTGCTAGCCCAGCACTGGAGCGTAGAGGGAGTGAGCCTAAATCTGTACATGTTTTCTTTAAGAGGAAGTCCTTGGGAGTCTAGAAATTTCTTTTCTCGACTCAACATCCACTGATTTTTGCAGACATAAGGATGGAGACTTGTCTTCCTGGCCCTGGAACTGTGGGCTGGGGTCGTTGTGGGGCTGGGAATCCTTGCTCCTGAGATATTCCTGTATAACTTTTTTCCACCACGTGTGGATGTGGGACCAGCCTGTTCCACAACTCCTCCTTCTTATCCCGGTGTGGATGGTTGTGGTTTCTTTAATTCTGTGGTTGTCGGACTTTCTCTCAAATTGATCCCTGACAGTTCTGACTGGTGGTTGTTCAATAGTTTAATTGTAATTTGATGTGGTTGGGCAAGGAGGAGAGCTGTGTTTACATATGCCACCATCTTGATCTCATTGATGATTCTTCTATGACAAGATTACCACACATGTTATAGCCAGATGATAATGTTTCAAATACTGTCTTTTTTCCTATTTTTATTATTGTGTTTGAAGAAAGAAGTTACCCTTATTCCCCACTCATTTGTTTTCTCTTTGTTTATGTCATTATGGACTCATGGATTTTTATGTATTACTCTCTGAGTTATAATACATTACTATTGCTATTCATTTTGAATCTCTAGGTGTGTTTATTATTTACAAGGATTCTAAATAATATCAGAGAAGACAACTAGGGAATGTATATAAAAGGAAAACAAGAAGTAAAACCTCCAATCCAAGGACTAAAGGAATGTTTATGCATGCTGGTGGGTCAGGAGTGGGACAGAAAGAATGAGAAATGGGAATATATGTATATTTTATTTATTTATTTATTTATTTATTATTTATATGACTCTTTAGTCTAATTACGGTATTTATTTAACATATGGTTAGGTTCATTTGTCTTCTTGATTCTACTTTGCTTTATGCACCACCTCTTCTATTTATTTTCTAGTGGCAAAAGACAACATGGTCATAACCATTCTAATAATTATACTCACCTCCCATCTCTTCTGTCCACCTTCTCTGGGTAAACCACCTCATTAGGTGCTGATTTATTCTTCCTCTGTTTTTTTTGCTCAAATGGGGAGACATATGTATATTTTATATCCCTTTAATTTTTACAAAAACGTTCAGTAGTATCAGTACCATTTTGCACATTGCTTGTTTCCATTTAACAATATATCCAGATGTGTCTCCATATTGATTCATAGATATCTTTGCTTTTATTTTTTGACAGTTGCCAATTACTCAATTTCATTGATGCTCTTTAGAGTTTCCTGTAGGAGTCCTAAATTTGAGATAGTAGTGATGAGTCTCCTAAATGCCACTAGATTGTTTATTTTAGAAGGCTAAAGTGGTCAATTTTGTGTTTCATATATTAAATGTTACTTAAAAGTTAAAAAGAAAATAAGTAATCTCTCAATACAGCACAGAAAAGAATTACTAAATAGTAATAATGTATGATTAATAAGTTAGTAGAGGTGTAATGGAATATCAAAATATATATGAATATAAAAAGGGAGAAAAACAAGAGAGAATAAATGTGAAGCAGGTGTATATCAAAGTTATAGGGAAAATATAAATTCAAATACATTATGATTACTTTAGATGTCAGTAGAGAAATAGCTCCAGAAATAACAATTGTTGCTGCACATGAAAAGAACAAAATCCAACTTTATATACACCCTGACAAAAGTACACCTTACTGAGAATTTAGACACAGTAAAGTCTAAAGTGATGGGGAAAAAATGCCATTTAAAACCTAACCTGAGAAAAGCTGCATCTTTACTAGATACACTATAGTAATACCTATATCGATATCTATATATGCATCTATCTCTAGAGATATAAAGTATCGGTATTAATATAAGAAGTAAATAAACTATTATTGCGGGCCCCATTCCTAGAAATATCCAAATCTGTATCTATCTATATATATGTCTGTCTGTATGTGTATCTATGTGTATAGGTATAAAATATCAATATTAATATGAGAAGTAGATGAAGTATTAATTCATGACCCATTGTTAGAAATATCTCCTCATTTTAAACAAAATAGTGTGCTTTAAAAGGCACTTTTAAAAAGCCTGTCTCTCTCTGTTTGCAAATTTTGCTTTGTAGTACATGTGAATTTTCATAGTATGATTATTCTGATCATGGCTGATTGCTCTCAGCCAGCATAATGTCATTGAATGTGAGTTGGACAGACGTGTGAATAATGAAGCTGACAAAAGCCAGCATAACAGAATCAGTTCAAAAAAGAAAAGTAAGTTCACCAGTAGCAAATCATGATACTAAATCAGGTGTCCTCATAATACGTCATTAAAATACATAAGGAAAAACTGACATATCTCAGTGGAGAAAAAGACAAATTCATAGTTAAAATTGTGCAACAGGGTTTGCAAAAGATTTTGCAGATACCTTATAATAGATGATGAACAAGTGAAAAATATTGTTTAGGAATAATTATAAACAATCCAAGTAGGAAATGTGACCTCATTGACATATTAACTTCTTCAACCCTGTTGACAAATATACTAAGGCCTGCTTTATATCTCTGTTCCTCAGGGTGTAGATGAAGGGGTTCAGCATGGGGGTAACTACCGTATACATGACCGAAGCAATTATGTCTTTGGAATCCCATGATGAGGACAAAAAGTAAACACCTATAAGTGTTCCATAGTATAAAGACACCACAAGGAGATGGGAGCCACAGGTAGAAAAAGATTTCAAGAGTCTCCTAGTAGAGGGAGCCTTCAGGATGATGGTCCCTATACGGATATATGAGCCCAAAATAATAACCAAAGGCAAGAATAAAATCATTCCTCCCTCAATGAAGATGACCAAGTCATTGAGGGAGATGTCTGAGCAGCTGAGCTTCAGGAGCACACTGAGGTCGCAGAGGAAGTGGGTGATGACATTGTCGGCACAGAAGGAGAGTCGGACCAAGAGGACAGTGTGCAACAGGGCATGGGCACATGAAGTAATCCATGAGGCAGCCACCAGCAGCACACACAACTCCTCCCTCATGATGGTGTTATAATGTAGAGGGTGACAGATGGCCACATACCTGTCATATGCCATCACTGCCAGAAGAAGATTATCAACACAACCAAAAAATATATAAAAACACAACTGAGAAATACACCCTGGGTAGGAAATGAAGATGTGATGAGTCTGCATATTCATGAGCATCTTTGGGACAATGACAGATGAGATAGAGACATCAGGGAGGGCCAGGTGGCTGAGGAAGAAGTACATGGGCGTGTGCAGGTGGGAGTCCAGCCTGATGAGCAGGATGATGAGTAGGTTGCCCAGCACTGTGGTCAGGTACATGCCCAGGAACAGGGTGAAGAACACACCCTGGTGCTCTGGCAGGATGGGCAGCCCCAGGAGAACAAACTCGGACACGCTGCTCTGGTTCTCAGGCCTCATGCTGCTCTTCTGTCTGCTGGGGACAAGGGAGGTTTGGGAACCTCAGGATCCTAGAAAGACAAGCAGGACTATCACATCTCATACTGTCATTTAATGGGAAATCATGAAAATTTTTTCCTTATTTTTATTGCTTACACCATTACAGTTCCCATTTTTTTCCCTTTCCTGCGTCCACCTAATCCACACTCCCCCACTCCCTTAGGCCATCACCACAGAATGGGTCATGCATGTATCTTCTTTGGCTAATCACTTCACCTGCCAGGTGCCATTGACCTACAGCTGTAAACTCAGGGCCACTCCAGAAATGGGTGACTGTTTAAAGCCCTTTGATGCCAGAATAGCTCTGAAACCAGAACAGTCCACAAACTCTTCCACAGTAATGCTGGCCATCCTGGGGCCATAAACACTGCTCTGCATATTAAGTTAGGGGCTTTGTCTACCTTTTATAATCCAACATCAGCCTTACATTCCCAGACTAAAACATCATCACAACTACAGTAAGAATGACTATTCTTTCTGTCTTCTATTAGCTGCAAGGAAATAGAAACATAAAAATGATATAAGTCTTACGTGCATATGTAAACAGTATGTATTACCATTTTTTATAGGTTAAAAAATATCAAATACTTTTTAATAGCCAATAATGGAATAACTTTTTATGGTGACAAGTAGTTATTTAAATGTTGAATCACCATGTTGTACACACCTGAAACTAATATTGTATTGTATGTCAACTATAATCAGAATAAACTTAAAGGGAAAAATTATCAAATTTGCAGGTCAGTCTACTCCATCTGCATGATCAGAGCCTGTGCGCTTAACTACCACCCATGGACACCTCTCCCATCCTTGGTAACTCCCTGGGTTACTGTAGGGTTGCAAGCAGTTCAACAGTTTCTTAGATCCCTACCTAGATAGTTCCCTTCATTTATATTGATCTGCTTTCCAATTGAGAAAAGACCATTACATTCATTATCATGGATTCAGAAATACATATTTATTGCACACTCAGCCTCACACACTCTACAACAAACAGCATACACCCTCCTATTAATAATGAGGGCCTGCTTCCACCCTTTCTGACTCATCCCATTAATGGGGGAAGGCCACCAGCATGGGGCAGTTAAGCCTATTCAGTCACAGGCACACTGATTAAACCACCACCAACATCCCATGCACATGGTCACACAACATGGTAACACAGAGAGAAAACCAAACAGTACATCTTCATGCTCTCGCACACCAGTGTGTCACCCACAGACACAGCTCACATGTACACCAGCACATGCTGCTGGGCAGAGGAGTGAACCCTCACTAACCTGACCTTGGATCCTGTGAGGTCAGTTATCTTCTTGTCCAGCACCATAGCCCCAACATGGAAACTAGAGCCCTCAGGGGTCTTGTTGACCCTTTGGCGTCAGCTTTGCTAACTGACTCCCTTTCTGCTGAGAGGTCCCGCGACAGACTCCCCTGAGAAGTGATCACAGCACAACTCCCTCCCTTAACAAGAGCCCCAGAGGCCAGCAAAGTGGAGCTCAAACTCATGAGAAGTTGGCCAGGCTTCCACAATCCAAAGAGTCTCGCCGCTGTATCAGGGACCAGACGTCAGGAAAGAAGCAGGGGTTTGAGGCCAGTGAAGGGAGCCCTGTTATCCCTGTAGAGGAGTGTATCAGTTCCTCTCTCCTTTCCTGCTCCTCTCCTTGTTAATCAGCTCAGGATTTCCTGGGAGAAGGGTGAGGGAGCTGAGCTTTGGCTGAGCAGCAGACTTGGAGACAACTAGCAGATGTGGCACAGCTCAGCTCCTGGAGACACTGGGAAGGTGAGAGAAGCGTCTGTATATGAAGGTGAGCTTCAGGAAGCTAGCTGGACAGTTTGGTGCTGATTCTTTCCTCCCTGAGAGTTTCCAGTATTTTATGTATTAGAAGTCATGAAGTGCAACTAAAACTTCATCTGGCTGTTGGTGTTAAGCCCCACGGGTTTGATGTGTAGGAAGCAAAATTCCATCAGTAGGGGCAAAAAACCTGTTGTATTCTCAGTCTCATTCACTGAGCTTGTGCTTTTAGAACTGTTCTTCCTGATTGTCAGATCCAAACCCTTCTCCCCTTTTTTCTAGTCATCAACATGGGTGATCCTCAGGTCTACGATCTGGAGTACCCAACTTCATTAATTAACCCAAATCTCCACCAACATTTTGGATTCTGCATTCCCTAGGCAGCCCTTTCACAAATGACTTATTTTAGAATTGCCCTGTGCTTGACAAACTGCTTTTCAGACATGGAATCTCACTTGCTATTGGTGAAACATCAGGCACCAGCTTGTGGACAGGAGATGGAGGACAAATCCCAGTTTTTGTCTTAAGTCCAGGGCACAACCACAACTCCACACACACTAGACACACCCAGCTATCCCCGGCCAAATTTCCTTCCTGATTTTGGCTAGTTCTTCACCGATATTCAAATACCCAAATTCTATCATCTACCATCTGTATAACACAGAAAGAAGGGTCACCTCTCTTGGAACTACAAAGGTAAATTCTGAACATGGGAGTCAAAACCTTGTCTGTTAAGGGGGACTGAAGGGTAGTTCATGAGGAAATGATGACAGTGAGGAAAGCAATGTCTATACTCAAGCATGTGGAGGTGGAGCAGTGATTCAGCTGGGTTCAGGAGGGATAATTTGTACACCGGTCCAGTGAATACACAATTCACTGCAACAGAATTGGAAGATGAGCCCTGAAAACTGGGATCACTTGTGTCTGCCTTAAGTAAACATGAGACTCCAGTGCTGAGGTGATGTTGGAATGACGTGATTCTCTGCCTGTGAACCTGTGAAGTCCCATTAACCCACAGCTGAAACCTCAGGGACACTTGAGAAATTTGTGGCCATTTAAAGCCACTTGATACCACAATAACTCTGAAACCAGAAAAGTCCACAAACTGTGTTTCATAACAGTGCTGAACAGTTTGGTGAACATCTGAGTGCTGGACTGAGGACCTCACCTGTGTTCCCTAACTATATCCACTCATCACACTTATGTTCCCAGATTTCACAACCACTTCACAGCTGCACTAAGATTTTGTGGTCTTTGACGTATTGCAGCTTTTAAGAAACAGAAACAGAAATGATACAAACTCTGTAGGCACAGAGCAATACACTGGTTTGCAGAATGGTACACACACGTGTATCTGTGTTTATATGATATGCAATATATAATATATAAATGACACATATTTGTTACCATTTTCTATACCTCACAATGACCAAGTACTGGCTGCTTCATGGGTTTCAGTCTAATACATGTGTGTAATCAACACCCATGCTCTAAACCATTTTACACAGAAACTTCCCGTTTGTTGATTAGGGGAGGCAAGCATGATATGTTGTTTTAGAGCTGTAAGGACCCCATTTGTCCAAAATTTTCTTAGTCTCCTTACTAATTTTGTTCCTTCACATTTGTATACGCTGCAAGTGAGAAAAATTCTCCAATACATACACATTTTCATACAATAAACAATTCCTGAAAGCCTCTCTAAGATTCACAAGGAAGTGCAATTCTTTCCACTTTATAGATGTAAACCGAGGCCAAGGATTTAAATAACTTTCCAAGGTCACCACTATTTCAAGGTCATTCTGCCCAATAACGTATCACAGTGTGATGCCTGGAATGCCTTTTGTATGGGATGTTCAGTAAAACTAAAGAGTTGCAACATTCTGAGTGACTCAGTCACACTCAGGTACATGAATATGGCAGCAGGTCCATTTCCAGAAATAGGACGTTTTTGGAGTTTGGTTCTCTCAGCCTATGGTGCCCATGAATGAGGACACTTAAAGAAAAATCAAGGTCGTTGATGCAGATCACACACACACAGTGCTGATTTGTGAATATTACTTACCTGGTACCAAGTTCCCACCCTAAACGAAGGAGAGCTCATAACATACACACACATATATACAAGTCATCAGAAACACACAAATGAGGCATACAGAACACACATTGATGGACTGATCACCTGCAAACACACTCACAATGCACATCAACGCACCTGACTCATGACACACCCAGTGAACAGCTCACCACATATACACTAACACTGCATACATGTCACCAAAAACACACAAGGCCGCAAACAAAACAGTCTCCCAAGAAACACACAAAGAGCACCTGCACCCCCAGCCACACACTCACCACAACAGGCAGCACACACCCTCCTATTAAAAATGAGGGCATGCTTCTGTCCCTTCTGACTTATCCCCTTCCTGGGGGAAGGCCATCAGTTTGGGGCAGGTTAGCCTATTCAGTCACAAGTGCACTCATTTAACCACCACAACATGCTATGCACATGGTAAACCACAATGCCATGCACATGGTCACTCAACAGGTCACTGTACAGAGCAAACCACAGAATACACCCTCCTGCTCTCACACACCAGTGCATCACCCACAGACACAATACACATGTGCACCAGCACATGCTGCTGAGCAGAGGTGTGACCCTTCTTTGACCTTACATTGGCTCCTCTGACGTCAGGTATCTTTCTGTCCAGCACCAGGGCCAACAATGTCACCTCTGATGCTCAGCCATGATGCAAGTACTTAGGGTCACAGGCATGAATCAGGAGTCCCTAATCACAGGCAAGAGGCTGATAACTTGGTGTACATGGGCTAAAATGGGGCTAGGTCAGGTCTAACTCAGGAAGAGTCAGGCTGTGAGTCAGATGCGTGTGCACTCATGTGTGCACACAGATGCAACTGTCAAACAGAATGTGCACAAGCATACACAGCACCTGAAGGCTCACAGAGACACACACACAGTCATGAACTGAGAGTCTCATCCATGAATCCACCATCACACAGGCAGATCTGTCCATCAGTGCAGACATCCAGCCTCTCTGACCTGTGCTCTTCATTTTTGGTGAGTTTAGACACCTTCTTCTCCAGACTCTTGCCCAGCTCCTCAGGTTGTCCTCAGGAGTCCTAACATCGACACAAACAGAAGAAAC